AGGGAGAAGGATAAGGATGCCGGCTCTATGTGCAGCCAGGATTTTTCAGTTGACCAGAGAATTGGTCATAAGTCCGACGGCGAGACGATTCAGTGGTTGTTGCAGCAATCGGAGCCGTCCATAATTGCCGCTACCGGAACCGGGACTATCCCCGCTTCCGCTCTGACGGCTGCCAGTGCCTCTGTTGCTGGGCAGGGGAAATCTGTTTCTGCTGGTTTGCATGTCAAAAATTGGGCAATGGTGAGTGGGAATTTAGGGAGATCTCAAAGCCCAGGCGGGGCATGGTGTTCCGGGAACGGAATTGGTTCAGGGTTCGTTCAAGGCTCGGAGCAATCCACTTCAAATTTCGGAAGTGAAAGCGCCAATGTCCATAACTACGGGTTCCAAGGGCTTGAATTCCCGAGCATGAATCTGGGTTTTGTGAGTTTTTCGTCGCTGTTGAATGGTAGTAACCAGCAGGTTCCAGGTTTGGAGCTTGGGCTTTCACAGGATCAGCATTTCGGAATTTCGAATCCCCAAGCTTTTACCCAGTTTTACCACCAGATTGGGCGGCACGTTGTCGATAAGGATGATTCCCAGGGGTCCAAGCAGTAGCTAGAATTACCAAACAAGAAAAACGAGTCAACTCGATGATATATTAAAAGTAAAAAAAGTGCTTAAGGAGATTTCTGAGCCGTTCAATCTGCGGGGGGGGGGGGGGAGGAATCTACCGAGTCAATCTCGTTTTCAACATGGCAAACACATGCAAATTCCTTCTCCTTGTCTTGTCATTTGCAGATTAATCTTCTGAAGAGAAGAACAATGGCGAGGGAATTGGATCTACTTGAGGTGCTTGTTAAACATTCATGGATTTGGTTTGGTGTTCGTTAATTACATAGTTTATAAAAATTTTGTCGGTCGAATATCGCTTGTTTGCTTTGCATTCTCGTGTCTACACACGAAGTTGGGTTTGTATTTGGAAGTGCCGACGACGACGACGATGGGATTTCCATTGTTATAAAGTTCGAAAGTAGAGATTTAAAATTATAAGAAATAGTTAGTATCGGCTGTTATTCTATTAAAAATAGGGTAAACTACATAAATGATCACACTATAGGTCATGTTGCAAAATGACCACCATTTTTAAAATTATGACAAATATACCATTGAACTATTTAAATGGCTAAATCTACGAGATAATGTGTCGGAATTATTTATTTCACGAGATAACGTTCTCCCAAGATTAATTGCTGAAGTAGGGCGAATTGCACAGTGTTGGTCGTAGGTCGCCATGCCTTTCGGGCGACCTACGACGTGGCAGCTTCTGACGAGAGAATGATCGTGTGCATGGGACATGCACAACCCAACCCATAGGTCGCCATGCACTCCGGGCGACCAAGGAGGTCGCCATGCACGCCCGGCGGCCAAGCTTTTAACCCTCTGCACGCCCTGCATGTCATAGCTGGGAGATTCCTGCCCGACGACCAAGCTTTAACCCTTTGCTCCCTCATGCATGCGTTGCATCCATAGAGCGGGACGTGCAGAAATATCACATGGCCATGCAAGGAGACAAGGTCGCCGGGCGTGCATGGCGACCTCCTTGGTCGCCCAGAGTGCATGGCGACCTATGGGTTGGGTTGTGCATGGGATGTTTGAAGCTGCCACGTCGTAGGTCGCCCGGAAGGTATGGCGACCTACGGCCAACACTGTGTAATTCGCCCTACTTTAGCAATTAATCTTGGGAGAACGTTATCTCGTGAAATAAATAATTCCCACACATTATCTCGTAGATTTAGCCTATTTAAATGAGTTCAAAATGGCCATACGACGTAAACATTCAACAAAGTGTTTACGTGTTAAAAAATTGGTATAACTAGGACGTGGGTCCTTGTAAAGTTACGTATTTGTGGCGCTGGCACCCTTCTTTGTTTTCTTACATTATGGTCACTACTTTATATGATTTGTTTCCTTGGATTTTCATTTAATCCAATTTGATACTGATTTTTTTAATTTGTCTAATGGCTTAATTTGAGTATTAACTTTAAAATCTTTTATTCTAGTTATGTATTAATTTTGTAGATTAAATCCCCTAGATTTTAGAATTAATCAATTTGATCACCAAGATTAACTTTAATTTTTAATTAGGTTTTATTTTCAATTTAATTTAATAAATTTATTTGTCCAATCAAATTGTGACACATGTCACAATCTTATGATTATAATTTGGATATTTAATTAATTTTTAATGATTTAATATATATAATCATTAAAAAATAAATATGAAAATAGTAAATTTAGTTTAAAAATATTAAAATCTTAAATCAATTATTCATAAACTATTAGATTTATTTTAATAATTTAAGTGTTGTCATATTCTCTATTAACTTAATAACATGAAACATTAATTATATCATATTATTTATTAACTATATTATGTCAATTATATCTCCCTGACATCACAATAATTTCATAATTAATAAAATTTATCTCACTTCACCACAAACACTCCCCAACATAAGTCGCGAACTCATGTATATCAAAGTACGTATAGGAGAGGAAGAAGATGATTGCGAAAGTATGTTTGAATTCATATTTTATTCGCTTGACAAATGGCATATTTTCTCACATTTAGGTCCTTATTTTTGTACGTTTTACATTTTAGTCACTCTCTTTACTCCTTCAAAGTCCTACCATTAGGGGTGTTTAAAACCGGGAATCCGTGGTTTCGGGTATCCGAAATATCGGGTACCCAAAATTTTCTGGTATCAAAATTTCGGCCTGTGTCCTGGTCCATTACATCCGGTTAACCGTAAAATTAGGGTACCTGTATTTTCGGGTCACGAGTACCTGATTTATAATTTTTTATTTTTAAAATTATATTATTTTTAAAAAATAATATATAGATAGAAAAATTCTAAAATTTAAAGGTCTATAATATATAATTCACACATAAAGTTTAAAAAATAAAATTACATAATTAAAAAAATATTAAAAATTAAAACAAAAATTATAATTAAATTTCAAATGTTTTGAAGTTAAAATAAATATTTTAAAAATAATTTATAATGTTATTGTGAAATAATTTAAGAAATTAAGAATTTAGAATGTTATGGTGGCAAAATTTAAGAAATTAGGAATTAAAAATGTTAGAGTGAAATAATTTGAGAATTATAAATACAAATTTAATACAAAATAAAAGCAAAAAATAATATATATGATAAATCTCGGTACCCGCTAATTCAAAATTAAGAATTAAAGTTAATCTTGGTGATCAAATTGATTAATCCTAAAAATCTAGGGGATTTAATCTATAAATTTAATACATTACTAGAATAAAAGATTTTAAAGTTAATGCTCAAATTAAGACATTAGACAAGTTAAAAAAATAGGATCAAATTGGATTAAATGAAAATCCAAGGAAACAAATCATATACAAGTAGTGACCAAAATGGAAGAAAACAAAGTAAGGTGCTAGTGTCACAAATATGTAACTTTACAAGGACCCATGCCTTAATTATACCAATTTTTTAACTGTCACGTAAACACTTCCTCTAAATGTTAACGTCGTGTAGCCATTTTGAACACATTTAAATAGTTCAGTGGTATATTTGTCACACTTTTGAAAATGGTGATCATTTCGCGACCTGCACATAGTTGTGTGGTTATTTATGTAGTTTACTCTAAAAATATTCATTTCAGTAAATTAATATGGGTAAATTACATGTTTGGTAATTGAACTTTACTCTCTCTCCTATTTCACTCATTTTACTTTTATTTTTTCAATTTACTCATTGAATTTTATAGATTGAATTGTTTTAGTCACTCCACCGTTAAGTAATATACGATGTTATAACATGGCAACTTACATCAAAACGAAGTTGTTTTGAATTCTTAAAAAATTTAAATTTTAAACTAAAACGACATCGTTTTGATTAAAATACGACCATCTTATAACGCTTTTAATTATTTAACGACAGAATTACCACAAAAATTCAATCTATAAAGTTTAGTGAGTAAATTAAAAAACTAAAAGTACGATAAGTGAAATAGAAGAGAGAATAAAACTCAGTTACCAAACGTGTAATTTACCCTAAACGATGGACTATTCGATTTCTTCATCCTTTGGTCTCCACAGTCCATTGTCCGATGTGCCTGAAACTGAACTATGTTGGTCTACTCGTCATTCTCACGTAGTCCACTATTTAGATTGATCGTTCATCCACCGGAGATATGCCACATCATCATTTCTATTAAGTTTTTAACGACGTGGTTCTAAAATGAAACAAAAACTTAACGTTATATATGGTTTTGAATTTTTTTGAAAGTTTAGGTACTAAAACGAACCAAAACTGATAGTTTAAGTACTAAATGTGTAATTTACCATTAGAGTAAGAATTTAAGGAGTGGTTTTGTTCGACAAAAAAAAACTCTAAATATAATCTTAATCCTACTTAGAAAGGAGGGTAAGGGAGACTCTAAAGGAAAAAAGAAGAATACTTCTAGTAAACCTAAAGAAAATATGAAGAAACAAAGATGAACAACTTGACCATCCAACCAAATATACTTGCTCAATTTAAGGAGTGATTTAAGTGATAAAAATATTTTTTTAGTGATTTGAATCTGAGCAGTTTAGCCTATCGTGTTTATCCAAATTAAACATAGGTACTACCTTCTAATTGAATTATAATACTAAAAAATTACTACTATATTGGATTAAATATCGTCACCAAGGCTCAATTATATGCTCTTTCGAATGGTTGGGGTGAAAACTCTCATCTGCAATTGAATAAACAAGTTGAGTTATTTAAGTAATTTCCTCTTAACAACCAAGTCTATTTTAATCTCATTACAAAATTCAGACATTATTTAAACAAAATGTAATTTTACCACTTTATTAATTTATAATTTTTATAAGGACTAAATCACAATTTTAACAATTTAAAAGGGTCGAAATACAATTTTTCCATGTATAATTTTCTCATTTTGGGGGTCCAAACATCACTTCAGCACAATAAGAGTCCTACCATGGTGGCTGTGGAGTCACAATTTTGTATTTCTGCTACTTTTTAACATATATATCACTTGTATTGTAGACTGCAAATACAAACTTACAATACTCGAAATTAAACATTGGCTCAAACTTAATAAAAGTGTATAGGTATATCTACCTTATATGATAAATAGATAGATAATCAGATAGATAGATGAATAGATAGATAGATGAATAGACATATAATATTTAAATATGATTGATCGTCATCATCCGAGGTGGGCTGAGGAGTTGATACGAACCATAACGTTTAGCGAACCTGCATCCTTGTCGGACCATATTGTCGCCGTCGTCCATCGCGAGCAACACCCTGCAGAACAAGTCAACGTCGCAGGGGAGGACAAGGGGTCCTTCACTGTGGAACCCGTATTCGGACTCGGCTTCTTCGAGCAGGATCTTGAAGAGCGGGTGGTTCGCGTACTCAGTCTTGATGACGAACCTTTGTTTCTGGGGTCCAACGTACACCGTGAAGCAACCTTCGGGGGTCACTCGGCTTCTCCTCGTGCGACGTTTCTCTTGATCAGCTCCCAGAGAGACGTCGATGGTCGGCCACGACTTGCTCTTGTAAAGCGCCGGGACGCCGCCGTTGTTACGGCTGCGCCCGATCGATTTGCACCGCTCCCATGTCTTGATTATCAGGTTGCTCTTCCTGCCTTTTCCCATGAAAAAAAATTGCTAAAAGAAAATACTGCCAGAAAAAACTATGGAGATTCTGGGTTCAAAAGCCTCACAACAACACCCTGAATCAATAAACTATGAACATGAAATGATCGAAAGTGAAAGATGATTTGCTTGGGATTATCTAACCTCGATCGTAAACCGAGTAAAACATGACCTTAACCCTAAACCTTAACGTACTACTCATGCTGAAAATACCGAACGAGTTAAGACTGAAATCATGCATAAAAAAGACGAGCAATCCAGAGTACTGGAAACAACAGAGAAGAGAAACTGATTCAACGCGGATCAAAGTTCAAGTAGAATCGGGCGTGGGAAGAAGTGAGTCAACAACTCGGGAGTTGGGATAGAAAGGAAATTACGCGGCTACTTTGAGTAATGACTAGAGCTTAAAAACAATGATAATTGATAAAGATGATGGTTTCATTTATATAAAAGCACAATTTGACATTAAATTATTATTACTGTACCTATTTGTCAACTTTACAAAATTAAACGTGTAAAGTTCCATTACTTGGGTAATAGTTTTATTTTGTAATTATATATATATATATATATAATTAAACATGATATAAAGAATCACAATGTAATTAATGATGTATTAAATTTAATATTATCAATATATATCAAAATTTAATAATTTTTTTATAATATGGGATGATTAAATGTAGTATTTATGTATATATTTTTTAATTAATTGATAATACATACTATATAATATAATTGCTCGGATCTAAAATCTTTAAAAAAATAAATATTTTTTATTTTAAATTTTAGGGTTAAGTACACAAATGATCCACTGACTATATGGTACTACTTTGTTAAGTCTCTCGATTATTAAAAGTTACAAAACGATCATTCGACTATAGTGTTGCATTGTTGATTCCCTCAACTATTAACAACTACAAAACGGTCACCCGACTATTCATTATGTTCCAAACTCGTCTTTTCTGTTAAAAATTGACGGTATTCTGAGTTGAACGTTAACCTACTGACTTTGATATGATAAAATCTAATCACAGAATCTCAAACGATTATCATATCTTAGTCATCATTTTAACGTTCGACTTAGACAACCGTCAAATTTTTAACGAAAAATAACGAGTTTGGAACATAATGAATAGTCAAGTGATCATTTTGTAACTTTTAACAGTCGATGGACTTAGTAAAACAACATTATATTGTTGGAAAACTATTTTATAACTTTTAATAATCGAATGACTTAATAAAATAATATTTTATAATCGGAGACCATTTGTGTACTTTACCTTGAATTTTAATTATTTTAGTTTCATAACAAAAAATCATTGAAAATATACTAAATAATTATAGAAGATGGTAGAAAGACACGTGGGGCTGAGCCGCCACCGCCGGTTAAGTCATGACTAGTAACAGCCATTTGCATTTGGTTGGGTGGAAGAAATAGTCATCTTATGATTATCATCAACAACCAACAAAAGCAAAGTTGAATTTGATGTGTGATTTATTAGGATATGGGATGAGATTATCACTTTACCTTTGTTGATCGACTTTTTTTCGGTTTCCTTTTGGTTTTAAAGTTTTACTTTAATTAATTCGAATTGATTTATATCGCATATCTAGATTCGATAAACGAGTCTCTTAACAAAAAATTTATGTGTATATAAAAAATCGAATTTAAAATTATACAAAAACGATATCAAACTAATTACTACATGTTAATTGATTTCTTTAAAGTGATGTATGATTCTTCATGAATTATTTCTAATTTTCACTTCGACACTTAAAATATACAAATAACCAAATTAATTAGAACATTTATATAAATTATGGGTAAACAGCGTTGGTGGCCCTTTTTGTTTTCGTTCTATTTGATTTCGGTCATAGATTTTAATAAAAGTTAATATTTGATCACGTATATTGTGGAACTACCTTATTTTAATCATTGAGTCATTAACTCTTGTCAATTCTATGAAGTGGTATGTTAATAAAAATGTTGATTTCTAGTATAACCCATAAACTTTTACAAGTCTTTTCTCATTCTCGAAAAAAAAATCGAACCATTGTTACATTTAATTATCATTTTACAACCATTCGATAATTTTAATGGTCATTTTTTAACTTTCAGAAGCTTAGTAACCAAAACGATCATTTGAGTATAATTGAGTGACCATTAAGGTACTTTACTCTTTAAATAAAATAATAGTGATTTTCTTTTTACCCGGATAGTGGACTTAGTCAAATCCACTTATACTAAGCACTGAATTTTTGTGCAAAGTTTTTGACGAAATAAACAAATAAAAGAACAACCAAAACCATGTGGAGGCAGTGGCTTGTGTTAAATTTTCATCATTCTGCGTGCCACTACCAAGTTGGCTGAAGTAGAGCTTTCCATGATGCAACCACACCTTTAAAATATTATTCGAAATCACAAACCGAGTGGTCTCTATAGTAAAGGAACGATTATTATTCCTTGAGATTTGGGTTCGAGTACCGATAACATCAGTGGTGTGAACGTTTAATGTTAAGAGGTTAAGAGTTATTTTAAAATATATATTGTCTTGTAATTATCTTAGAGTAATAAAAAAATATTATTTGAAATCCACACCTTCATTTGTATTTTAAGATGCATTAATGGTTCAATTAACTATCACCCCACATGGTATTTGGACAACCCAAAGTCAATGATTCAATAGGTATCAATTAGTTGAGGAAATTAGCATGGGAACAGTGTAGATAAAATTATAAAATTTTGGAGGGTCAAAAAAATTTTTATGTTAAAGGTTTAAATTAAATAATTATTTCTCAAGAGGAGCTAAAGTACAATTTTCATTCAACTAAAGGGTTAAATTAAATATTTAATAATAATATGGTATTATCTTATAGTGAACATTATGATTAATTTTTGGATAAATTACATAAATGGTCATTAATATATTGTAAATTTTTGTTTTCTCCACTGAAATTTCAAAAATAACAAATTGATCACTCACCATTAACAAAACGGAATACTGACGTGACATGTTAAACTAGTTGACTCAATATGTTTGACCGATCATTTGACTCTTCTTCTCCTCCTCCTCCTTGACGTTCTTGAAGCTTTCGCTCTTTGCAATCAAATGTACTTTTCTCTTCACCAAATTTAGCAACGCCTTTGACGTATTTTAAAAAACAAACTACAAATAAAAAAACAGAAAATGCCTAGACCACTCCAAAATAGTTTATTTCATTTCCCCCCTTTTAGATGTTTCTTCTTTCTCTCTCCAACTCCTTTTGGTTTCTGCTTTTGATATTAGCTCAAGTGTTTCAAGGGATCATAGCCCTTTTTCCCTCTTTCTTTCCTTGCGGTTTAGCACAGGAACATGCATTGTTTCCTCGTACGGTACTTGGTTCTTTCTCTATGAACCTTCATTCCATTGGTTCATGCAGAGACCAACGACAAAAGATGGTACGTCTATCATTTCTGTTTTATTGACAAATGATGATACGGTACTTAATATAGGTGAAAATTTTATTTCAATTATTTGGATGTACATTTTTATTGACAAATTTTAAATTTAATTTTTGAGAAGGAATAATGAGATTTTATAAGAAACAAAAATAAGAGTGCTCCTAATAGATCTAGAATTCATTTCATAACGAAATATGAACAAACATAAATGAATAATTTAATCAACCGATTAACATTTAAATTTAAATTTAAATTAAATACGAAGGATTTATCTTAAAATAACTTAATGAAAGACTTGTCCAAATCATCAAAAAAAAAGCCATGGTGGTCAACCCTTCAGCGAATCTCGCTTCTCTTGCTGTCATGGATCAATTCAGCAGCCATGGTGGTCGGATGCCTGATGGCGAAATCGGACTGACGGACCCACCACTTCAACATCATTCAGATCATCCCGGCGGCAACAGTGTTGATTCCCCCATGGGCGATCCTGTGGATGTTAGATCGGAGAACGTGGGGCAAGGAATTGAAGCATTCAACAGCGGTCACCCTTCTTTTCATGATATGGTAAGGGGTTCAAAACTAATTGGTAACCAACCCATTTCGATTAATGATTTCGATGTGGATGTTCATCCCGAGGATGTAGTTTTGGGTGTAAATGGTCCTCTGCCTGCGATTAGCTTTTCAGATAGAGTTCACGATGCTATTGATGCCAAACTGGCTAATTCTGTGGTTATTCAATTACTGGGGAAAACAATTGGATATAAGGCCTTGCTGAGTAGGATCAAAACTCTATGGAATCTTTTAGGGGAAATTAGCCTCATTGATCTTGACAATGATTATTATCTTGTTCGCTTTGCTTGTGAGGAGTATTGACAGGAGGTCCTTGGATGATATATGGAAGCTACCTCACCGTTCAACCGTGGAGTAGACAGTTCTCTACCGCCATGGATTATCCAATGAAGATTATGGTGTGGGTGAGGCTACCAGGTTTACCCAATCGTTATTATACACGTCGTCTCTTTGGACATATTGCAAGAGCTATTGATAAAGTGGTAAGGGTAGACTATAATACGGAAGATGGGAAGAGAGGTCGCTTTGCACGACTTGCGGTTGTTGTTGACTTGGACAAACCACTGATCTCTGGAATAGTGATAGACGGTCATCGGCAGTTAATCGAATATGAAGGATTACCAACTATTTGATATTCTTGTGGGAAGTATGGGCATACACATGAACACTGTGGTAAAGTAGCTAATGTAAATAATGGTGAAGCACATGAAGCACAAGATATTGGGAAATCCGATGATCTGTATGGTCCTTGGATGCAAGTGATGAATAGGAGAAGAAAGAACACTGGGGTCAAAAAGATTGCAAGCTCGGATACAGGGAAACAAAACACTGCTCATATTTTGGGTTCTCGCTTTGAGGCCCTTCACGCAATTCAAGTCGATGATAACCGAGGAAGTAACCCGATACAAAAGCCATCTATGATGTGGACTAATAATAAGGGAGCGATGTATTCTTCTGGTCATTTGAATGCCAAGGCGAGTGGTAGTGCTGAATCTAGCAAGCAAGGGCAAGCAAGATGAGTTTCAAAAGATTCTATTGAACCAAAAAGAAGTGATGTAGCGGGTCCACAACGAACAACGATATTGGTGTGGCTTCAATAGGTAAGATTACAAGTGTTGCTTCATCTTTGAATAAAGACAAACATGTGGCTATACAGGTGACGTAAAATGATGAGAACTTAGCTTCACAAGACCGTAACTTAGACATTTTTCAACGAACTGCTCGAGGGACCAATACAAAAGCTCAAAATAAAGGGCTTGCTGCCGTTAAAGGTTTATCTCGCAAGGGGTTGAAGACAAGGATCACAGTAAAACCCGAACCCGACGTGTTCAACAACAAAATCGAACACAATCCGACTCAGCAACTCGCCATTGATATCAGCAGCGACAGTAGCAGTTCAAGCGTGATGATTATTGATATATCGACAACTCGTTACTGGGTTTTCTCCGATCCAATACGGGTTCCAAAAAAAGTAATTCCGGTGAAGAGCCCGACGGTTCTTGTTCGACCAAGAAACCGAAAACCGAGGATTCTGGTTTCGCGCTTCCCGCAATGTTTCTGGCTCCGCTTCCGCAAGAGGACAGGATTCTGCAGTTGTCCGTACATGTTCCGGAGACCGGATTATCGGTGACGGATACTGCTACGGTTCAAGGCGTCGTAGAAAGCCGTCAACGGAGTAAGGTTTCGAGGTCTTGCAAGCAGTTTTGGAAAGCGGGAGATTATGAAGGAGGCAATGCATGCGACTCTATCGTGTCTTGCAAATAAGGAACACCCCGAGCTTCTTAAACTTCAACAACAGTTGACTAACATCCTTCTACATTGTCGGAGTATGGTTTCAAGGATGGCCTCTTATTTTTTGGGATCGATTGGTAATTCTGTCTGATTCTTCGACAGCAACTTCTGGGTGAGTTTCACTCGTCTCCTATTGACTGTCATTCTGGTGTCAACTATTCCTTATTGATTTCAAAAAATATAATATATGGTCATTTTTGTTTTTTTAAGTAATATGTAATTATCATGAGTTAACCACCGTTAACAATTAACAGATCATGTGATGTGACAGTTAAATATTTTGAAATAATCATACATTTGGTCCATGTTAAATATATTATGTCTTTTGTAACACGCTTTTCTCTCTCTTGTGGCACGATATTGATGGCTTTTGGTACACTTTTTGCATACATTTACGGTTGTTTTGGTGCTCGCGCAAAGACCCTCACGATATTTGTTTTCTGTTTTGTTTGTCGGTGATCAAGTATTGTCATATCCCCTATTCGGTAAAAGGTCATTTACCAATATAATCAGAATTATATAGCGAAGCAGGCTGTCATATTGTCTGGTTTGCTCAACACCACTTTATCACTTCGTAAAGCCTCTCCTTTGACAGAGACAAATAGTTTTTATGAAGATTACTAGATTCTTTTGATGTTAGTCGTCATTCTTAACAGAATGTTTCTTCTTTTTCGTATCTTTGGATTTCATATTTTTGCTTTTTGTAGGAGCTTTTTGAATTATTTTCTTCATCTTTTTATTTTTATTAATAAAATTTAATATCCCTTCAAATTTTTTTAATGTGTAGTTGACTCTCAAAGATGGATTCAACAAAATTTAAGGGTAAAAACATGTATATTAATAGCATAAAATAGGTGGGCACAATTTAAATAACATAACAAATATGATTGGAACCGATTACCTGAATTGATTTACTTGACCTGAGATCTGATATAGACCTTAACATGATGATCCAAACTTGATTTAAAACTCGAAACAAACAAGCTGAATCGAAATCAACCCGAATTTTAGCTGAATTGATATTAACTTGAATTAAAAATAATTTGAACTAAAAGTAATTTGAACCGAAAATATCTCGAACAAAAAACAACTCAAACCGAAAGTGACCCAAATAAAAAATAATTCAAATCCATATTTACCTAAAATTATCCATCCAAATGTTTTTCTTAAGGCAGGGATTTTTACATTATGTGTCAAATTCTAACGTCGCTAAGCTACATCGAATTTTTGACTTCAATTCAGTCTTTATTTTGACTCAATGAGTTAGATGAACTTGTCTGAAATACCAATGAAAAAACAAATAGTAACATATATATGCATATTTTTTATATGTAACTGTATATGCCATATTGATTGCAGTCTTTGAATGAGTTTTCCTAGGGTAGTAACGTATATAGAGACTTACCTTCAGAAAGGCACACATTCTATGTGAGCTACGAATGTTCATTCCTTGCAGAGGTAGACGTGATCTTTTGGATGCCTTTCTTCTTCACATGCATCACAATAATACTTTTCCGAATCGTCTTCAGTAAAAAAGTCTTTAAGAACTAAAGGATGAATGTGAATTTTTGATTCCACGGCTTGAGGTACGGGGACACATTTTATGTGAAAATTTATACGGCACTCGAGACATCGGTAGAAGGATTGTCCGCTGCAAGTTTCATCACAGCGACAACAAGAAAGTTCAGCGGAGGGGTACCTGGCAAAGAATCGATGGAAATGTGCCCCAAAATAGTAAAGACGGTGGAGGTGAGAATCACGTTTGAGAGGACGCCTTAGGGAAATTGCACATGCAATATGGAAGTGGAGGCCACAATCTTTACATCCATAGCTACCTCCATTCCAGCAGAAACTTGCTCCACAAGCATGGCACCCTTCAAGTGTCCTGCTGTACTTGAGAGTCAAACTGTGTTGCGAGTGAAGTGGGACTCGCATCTCTTCTGGTAACCTAACACAAGATTCATGAATAAACCAATTACATCTCATGCACCAGTAAGTTGGACCCAAGATTTGCAGTCCACAAAACCGACATTCTATTTGACGTAATGTGTCAGGGTAATTGCCAAAGATAAGATTATGGTTGTGGCTGAAATGGAATAACTCAGTCTCCCTCTCCCACTCTTTCGATGTCGATGCTCGACGCTCAGAGGGCGCTCGAGTCGCGCATTTCAAATCGAGCTTGAAGTCACACTCCTTGCAGCGATAGACGAAGCCTAAAAAAATTCCTTGACACTCATCACATAAAATAAGACCCAGAGCTCCAGCAGAGAGGAATAGTTGATGTTGGGGATGAAGAGGGTGTTGTATCTCATCAGCTAATTTAGCACAATCTTCATGTACAAAAACTGATCTACCCCAGTTAGGTCGAAAAACTCCACCCCGCTCATGTAGGCATTTTTCACAAAAATAACGTGGACCACTAACATCTAAACGACAAAGTGTGCAACGTTGATGCTTCAAGATTTCATCAGTTGCCTTGCAGAATTTCAATGGATGTACATGCAACACAGGTCGAAACTGTACTTGCAAATAAAGAATGAACAGCCTTATTGATTCATCATGTTAACGCAAAGGCAACGTACATAGTAATGATAAATGATTATATTATTGATATGGTAGTTAGTTACTTACCAGAGTCGTTTCAGTCTGCTCCATGAATATGGGAGCTGAGGATGAATCTGGTTTAGGTGAAGCTTCCGTCTGTATGTAAAAAAGTAATTAGTTCACCATTATTAGAAACGAGGAATAAAGTAAACATAACTTGTTGCTAAAGAAAGTGATTTACCCGATTGAGCGTGCATTCAATATGAGCGATAAACGTGCATTCCTGACAAAAATAAACTTCATGTGTGGGATTCCGTTCTTTCTCGCAAATATCACAGAAACACTCTCCAGCCTCATCTTCTCTAATTGGTTTAGATAGGATGAGGGGATGTCTATGATATCTATTTTCAGCTAAGGGTGGAACTGAAACACATTTGAGGTGAAAATTGAGGTCGCAATGCACGCAACGATAGAGTGATCTGGTTCCAGAAAAAAGCTCACGGCAGGAATGGCATCTGAAATTTTGCAAACGCTTTCCGAAAGTGCGACCAACATAAGTGAGGTTGTGGTTGTGGCACTCATGTTTAAGGGTTGGTGAGAGCTTTGCACAGTCAATATCAAGGTAGAATCCGCATTTCTGGCAACCGTAGCTGGCTGTGCTTTTGAATTTTCCGCCTCCAACGTCATTTCTACAAGCTTCGCAATATAGTACTCTTCTGGTATTGGAATTCACATAGTCATGGAAACCCAAGCGAAGAGGGTGTGATGGATGGAAAGGATGGTTCAAGGTTTTGGGTATCTCATCAGTACAGAATTCATGGAGGAAGAAACTGCATCCTTTACAACCATAGACGGTGCCAGTCAAAGGCTTGTCACACCAACTACAATTATAATCAGTTTCACCCGCACTGCTAAATTTGTAGAGGATCAACGAGTGACGGTGGCAGTAATGTTGAATCCTCACGTGATCCCTCGCTGCATCAGATCTCATCCTCGTCCAATGATCATCACCACCTGCAAAGGCGCATGCTAAATCGACCTCGAACTTGCACCGACAGCAGCCGTAGTTGGTGCCGGAAGAAGCTTTCAGACATAAGTCGCAGGTGAATTTTCTGGGAGGACCAGACCAATCTAGTACAAGATGGTGGTGAGAGTGTAGAGGATGTGTAATCTCTCGAGGTAGATGTTGCAGAGATTTGGCGCATGATTCGTGCAACCCAAATCCGCACCTAACACATGCATAAGCGGCACCACATATTTTCTCTCTACATTTATCACACTTTTTGTAATCGCTCTCGTGAAACCAATGGTAATCCATAGGATGTTCATGGCTAGCAAGTTTGATCTCCATATCCCAAACAATGATGAGATTATTTGAAGAAAAAGAAGACAAGATGGATGGATGGATAATTAAACAAGAGAGAGACAGAGATATATAGAAAAAGTGCGAACGAGGAAGATATATATATGATTTGATTATTTGAGAAGGTAGGAATTTGTTGAGGGATCAAAGTAATATTGTTAAGAAGCAAGAATAAATGTGTTTCGAGTTTCATGCTTTGGACTAAATTTAAGTATTTAATATGTTTAGGCCTGTAAACGAACCGAACGCACACGAACGGAGGTATGTTCATGTTCGTTCATTTAATAAATAAATGAACATAAACGAACACGAACATAAACGAACAAAATTTTTTTTGTTCATGTTCGTTTATTAAGGAATATAACTTGTTCATGTTCGTTCATTTAATAAATAAACGAACATAAACGAACACGAACATAAACGAACACGAACATAAATGAACACGAACATAAAACGAACATAAACGCTGGAGACCCTACCTTCCATTGTTCTTTCATGAAAAATAGTCGACAATGCAAATCAACCAAATCTACAGTGATAAATAGCGTAAGAGCTGATTAGCAGTGATGAAATGTTTGAAGATATCAAATATTTCGATCGATCTTTTAAAGATATTAAATGATTCACACGACTTTAATTTAACGCTATAACATTTATCTTAGTGGTCCATGATTACATATGAACAATCATTTTCCACTACGTTATTCTAATAAATTCGCTGGCTAAAAGTTTTGTGACATCAATGTCATACTTTAGTGAGGTTTGTTAATAATGGTCATTTCCGTTGGCATAGTAAAAAATTTAACAGCATAAAGATTTCGAACAGTACAAATTGGACTACAAGGCAATAACATAGATCCGAAATCCATTCGATGCTATATATTGTAACTGATATTATTGCTAAACCACCATTCAAAATTTTAACGTACTTAAAGTCTACTCTACAACTAAATGTCACACAAGAACTATGAAAACAAAAGTTCATTGTCAAAATGTATTTTCTACTTATTAATGGGTTCTTCCTGGAAAACCCATTACTTCCGCTGTTACACTCTTTTTCAGAAATTGCATAGAAACATTTGTTTTGTTTTATAGCAAATTCTATATATTTTTCTCTTTACTGATGCTCATGTACTTCCGATTATTACATTTATCTTCCCATCTATTTCTAGAAAGAAGTATGATGTTTTCTTGAGTTTTAGATGTGAAGATACCCACAATAACTTTACATGTCAACTATTAAGCCGAATTAAACAAAGAAAGAGATGAAAACAGACCTGTTAAACTTCAGATTGCACTATAATATAACTTGTTTTGAAGCTTCCAGCGATCGTCTCTACTCTCCAGTGAACACTAAAGTTTGGGGAAAAAGGGGAAAAATGAATATAGGAACATAAATTGGTCATCAGAATATCAGATTAATTAATATTTTTAAGATACTTACAAATTGGTCACCAAAATTGATTTAAGAATATTGGGTTAAACATAAATGAATGAACATAAACGAACATAACCGAACGAACATAAACGAACATAACCGATCGTTCACGAACGTAAATGAACGAACGATACCTATGTTCATGTTCGTTCATTTAATTAAACGAACACAAAATCTTGTTCATGTTCGTTCATTTAATAAATAAACGCACATAAACGAACTTCCCGCCGCACGGTTCATGAACGGTTCGTTGAACGTTCAGTTCATTTACAGGCCTAAATATGTTGCCATACCTTTTACGTGATGCTTTGCCCCAATTACAGATGGCATCCACAATTCGATTAAAATCGAATTAACCGTTTGAATCGAAATTTTCGTCGGTTAATTTTGAATTCAGTCAATTAACGGTTAATATTTTTTTCAAATTTCGATTTTGGTTTGAAATCGGTTAAATAACCGATATTATTAAATATTATATATATATATATATATATATATATATATATATATATATATATATATATATATATATATATATATTGTTTAACTTTAGGGGTGTTTAAATTTCGGTTTTAATTAAATTAATCGATCGAATTAACCGAATAAACCAAAAATATTAAATATATAATATATATTATTTATAAATTTCGGTTAACCGACCAATTAACCGAACTTGGTTCGTTTCGATTAATTTTTTGAAAAAAATCAATTCAATGAACAATTAAAGGGGAAAAATCAATTAATGAAATTTTGATAATTTGATTCGATAGATTAATTGAATTAACCGTTTGAACAGCCCTAACCATATGTGTTATTTTTGAGAAAAGAGTGGCGAATGGTGAAATGGGTCTTCCTTAATATTTCGCCAATTTGGTTCGAATATAAATATCCGCATTATATTTCTATTATTGTATTAAACTATGTCATTTTTTTTGTTAATTTACGAAATTTATTTAAATTTCAAAACGAAAAATAATAATAGGTGGAATTATTGTTTTTGCCCTACTATTTTATTGAGTTTCTCATTTTGACCCTTAATATGTTTTTGTGCATCTTCCTACCTTCAAAAATAATTTTTTCAAAAATTGACTCGTACTTAACGAAAATAATAATAAAACCCCTAAATTGACGTATATTATTTTATCTTTTGGAAATACTGATGTTGATTGATTTATCCTTTTACGTCGCGTTATAAAAATAAAAAAATAATTAAAATAAATATTATTAAAATAAAAAGTTATTAAAACATAAAAAAAAAACTGTTTTGTCCACATACGACTGCACTCACATCTTATTTTCTTCGTATTTTTCTTCATAAATAATAAATAAAAGAATAAGAAAAAAAAGAATAATAATTGGATGACCTCCCAAATCTTCAAGAGCCGCCTTTGCTTTATTCAAGCTTGTCATATTTGACCTCAAGTAGCACCACCTATCAAAGTATCTTTCAATTGATTTAAATGGTAAATAATTTAATATCGTTTAAATAGAATTTTAAGTTCGAGATTTATTCAAGTTTGTATTGTTTTTTAATAATATATTTAATATATAATTCTTTTATTCAGACAATTCACTCTTAATCCCTATCTTACACATAAATTCTAGATTTATTTTTTTACATTTTATTTCTATTAATTTTATTCTGTATACTTTTCAAACTTTAAATTTTAATACTAATTTAAATAATGATATAATTAAATTATATGGGGTTAAATCATCAAATTAAAAATATAAAATAAATATATAATTTACGCATAATGCGTGGATTAATAATCAAATTCGATTTAATTAATTACTTAGATATAATTTGGACCTTCTACTTGTATAAAAAAATTAAGTCATTGATTTAAATATTGAAAGTGCTGCTTCGGCAATTTTTCTACATAAAAAGCTCAATTATTTTTAAACAATAACTCATTTGATAATGATTTTTGTACTATACAAATCAGGACTAACTTGATTTTACAACTACAGTTTAATGATTAAGTATGCAATGTATACATAACACAGGGACTAAAAGTAGAGTTTAACCTTTTTATTTCTATTTCTATTTCTATTTCTATTCTAACACGGGATGTATTAGCTTTACCTGAGCTCCGCCCTTGGCTGTTCATTTTTGGTTCTCTCCTTGCCGATTAATTTCCTTTCAGAAAACCCTAATTCCTGATTCTTTTTTCTGAATTTTTCATTACCTATAAATCAGGTACGTTCTTATTATCTCCTTGATCCGATTTGATTGTCCATCCATCACAGTTTGGTTTCCACTTTCAGACATCTTTTTTATACATTTTTTATGATCCAGATTTCTCGATTTCGCTTCTCGGTTTGTTTAAAAGTAATTTTGTTTCTTTTTTCTGAATCATGTTTTAGATATAGATTCTCTGGTTTATTTGTTCGAAATGATAAATACTTGTAGTTAGTGAGTTGAAGAAGTATTTTACGCTAACCAGTACTCTTACTACACTAATATTAATATTCTGCATCTTTGATCCATAAATGCTGGGAATGGTAATGGAACAATTAACAAATATGTTGTTTTTTTGTTGATTAGAGAAAATTAAAGTGGAGGAAAGATGTTAGCAATATCAAGGCAAAGGGTGAGTTCTTGTAACTCTCTTGCTCTTTCATATACCTATGTTGACGTTTCAGTTAATCTAATAGGTCATTATTAATGTTTTCGTTCTGATTTTTGTTTATATAGATCTTGGGGCAATGTTTTCAGAAGATTCGGCCTGCAGTGTCAGAGTTGAGAAGTTACTCTTCTGCAGCAAAACAGGTAATAGTTTCACGTTTTTTATTCTTAGTGTAGTTCTGTAGATTTTTTTGGGTTCGCTATTAGATAATAAGTTGCATAATACAAGTGTTCACTCATTTGGAATGGAGTATCTGTGTCCAATTTCAACAGCTGCTCTGTATGTTACTTGAGTAACATATTAAGAAGAAAGATTGCTCAACACACACACACACATGCACGAAGTTATGGTTTTCATTATGTTTGTGTTTGTATATAGTTTGCATCTCTCTGAAAGGCTTAATTTTCAAGTATTTTCTTTTTGTTTTCTTAATGATAATCATGTACAGATTACAGTGAGAGAGGCATTAAACTCTTCTCTTGATGAGGAGATGTCAGCTGATCCAAAGGTCTTTTTGATGGGTGAAGAGGTGAGAAATATTAACAAAATGATTTTTTGATAATATTTTGACTGTTATATTTCATTTATATCCCCATTCTTATGATTTTGTTTCTTGAACTAATAAAATGCAGGTTGGAGAATATCAAGGTGCATACAAGGTTGGCATTTTTCCCTATGTATAATAGAGGCCATAGAAGCATTCCCGCATGTGTCGGAAGACTGATTTCTATTTCCCTCTTTTGTAGATAACCAAGGGACTTTTGGAGAAGTATGGACCTGAAAGGGTTCTTGATACTCCAATTACTGAGGTTATTATGTTTTTCCAGGCCTATCCTACTACTCCTTTGTTCAGTTTATGAATTTCATTATTATTTTATTGAATGGTTAATCTCATATGCTTATTATATGTGTTTACTGATGCTTTTTAGTTTTTCATTGTGTTTTTCTCACATAAGCTGCTATTTCTTACTTCACAGGCTGGTTTTACTGGGATTGGAGTTGGTGCTGCTTACTATGGTCTGAAGCCTGTAGTGGAGTTTATGACATTCAACTTCTCCATGCAGGTTAGATAATTCTGTTTGATTCTATGCTTTTACTAGTTTGTGTGCTACAGTAATAGTATTAAGTTTTGGAAACAAATTCTGAATAAATTTGCACTCATGTCATAAAGAAGAAATTAGAGATGGTATATTATCATGTGCTTTCTATTTTAAAAACAATGAAGTACTACAGTAATGTAGTGTTGATATCCTTTGAGTTTGTATGAATGAGGTATGCATGTTTTCTTTGAAGGAGCATGCCATCAGTGGTTAGATATACTGGCTGATTAATGAGGGATAAGAAATTTTACAGATTTATTATCTTGATCTTCTCTTTCTACATTCAACAAGACATAGAAATAAGTTATTAATACATGTGGTTGTAGATTACAAATGGAAAGTTTAAAGGAAAGAGATGGCATTTAAAATGTATTGTCACAGTTGGTTATGCTGTTATCAGTGATTGATCCTATCATTTATGGTGCTGGTTAAAGAAGTGTATCATGTTGCTTGAATGCAAATTTGTTTGGCTATAAGTGATTCAAATTTTCTGTTTCAATTTTGTAATTCTCTTTGGTATATGCTAATCATAAAATAATTAGTCTTAAGACAAGCCAAGAAATGGTTCTCCAGAAGATATCCTGAAAACTCTTCCAAGGAGATTCGTTTTGTTGAAATGCAGAATCTCGAGTTCTTTTTAGCAACAGAATCTTTTGTGTTGCAAGAGATGGTTTGGATACTGTTCTAACATCATATGTACTTGGACATAGGCATGTGTTTTGCCTAGATCTATTTTTAGCCATCGTGGGCCAGAATTTCTTAAATTTAATGATACATTAATATTGGTCGTTTTAATGGTAATAAACAAATTTAATGACTTCTTTCTTCTCTTGAATGTGTTTCTATCCAATTCTTATTTTGATGCAGATGTGTTTGTCTTTTATTGCAGGCAATTGACCACATTATTAACTCTGCTGCAAAGTCCAACTACATGTCTGCTGGCCAGATATCCGTACCCATTGTTTTCAGAGGTCCTAATGGTGCTGCTGCAGGTGTTGGTGCCCAACACTCTCAGGTATGGTTTCTTCATACTGTTACTGATACTGTCACCCATTATTTTGCACTGGGTATTGTTATTATGGTTTGATTATTTCCATTTTATTGAGGTGTTGCTGAGTTTCAATATAGTAAGAAGCTTGTTTTGATTATTTGTGTTTTGGTTAATATCCAGTGTTATGCAGCATGGTATGCTTCTTGTCCTGGGTTGAAAGTACTGTCACCATATAATTCTGAAGATGCTCGTGGACTGCTAAAAGCAGCTATTAGAGATCCCGACCCTGTTGTTTTCCTTGAAAATGAGTTGCTGTAAGTGAATCGATAAAATGTGATTCTTATGTATTGAGCTGCCACTCTAGTGGTCCAATGTTCAATAAGAATTTTGATGTTTGACATTGCTGTGATATAATCATTCTGTTTCAGATACGGTGAGTCATTCCCCGTTTCTGATGAAGTTCTTGATTCCAGTTTTAGCCTTCCAATTGGGAAAGCTAAGGTAATGCCTGATATGATGATCCTTATATTTTTCTTTCAAGCTGTTACTATTGCTACTATTGACGCAATCAGTGATTCTTCTGTAACTTGTATCCTTGATGGAGCATTCTGATAGCATTTAAATTAATGCTTGACAATCCCACTTTAACAGATAGAGAGAGAAGGAAATGATGTGACTATTACAGCTTTTTCGAAAATGGTGGGCTATGCTCTTAAGGTAATGTCTTGTTGTATGTAGTGTCTATCCGAATATCCGGTTCCTAATTTCTATTCGAGGTAGATTGTAAATGCAAGTGCACAACATAAAAGAACAATCTAAAGCTTAACGTGATAGTACATTTTTGGCCTGTGGAGTTATCAACTAATAGACTGTTTTCTTCAGGCGGCTGAGATACTTGAAAAGGATGGAATTAATGCTGAGGTACAGTATAACACAAATAAGTGCAAATACTTGCAAGTTAATATGATCTTATAGCTAAGATGTGCAGCTACCGACTTTGTTAAATACAGGTCATAAATTTACGTTCTATTAGACCGCTAGATAGATCCACAATTAACGCATCAGTCAGGAAAACCAACAGACTAATAACCGTTGAAGAAGGGTTTCCTCAGCATGGTGTCGGTGCTGAAATCTGGTTCGACTTCTTTTCTCTTGAATCATTTAGTTTCTTCTCGCCAACTATTACGGCACCGTGTTCATTTACGAAGTATACTTATTTCACAGCTCATCCGTTGTGGAGGAGAGTTTTGCTTATCTTGATGCACCGGTTGAGAGAATTGCTGGAGCCGATGTTCCCATGCCCTATGCAGCAAATCTCGAGAGAATGGCCGTGCCACAGGTGAGATGATTCCCTTCTTCCCAATACAACCTTTACAGCTAAATCAGCTAGTTCAACGGTTGCCTTAATTTCGGATTCATATGTGCTTCATTTTGGAATGTTTATCCAAACGAGCCTTTTCAACAAAAAAGCACTGTTTTTTCAGCTTCTTGATTCGAGTCAATAATCACGTTGAAGGATAAACTAATATTTCTTCGTTTATGAATTCTGCAGGTTGAAGATATTGTCCGTGCTGCAAAGAGAGCGTGCTACCGATCTGTACCATTGGCTGCCACTGCCTAATCGAGCCAATACAGGCAGGAAACTTCTCCTAACAATGGCGACTTGCATGATCATTTTAGTTAAATCAAAATAAAACGAGGTCTTCTCCCGTAACATAAATGTTTATTTTTCAGGAATCAGAGGGATACGATTGTTTTGCTTTTTGGACACTGTAGACGTTTTATTTTCGATTCCAGTAATTTCCATCCAAGGAATTCTTCCCTTTTCCCCAGTCTTCTCTTCCTTGTATCATATGGATATTAGACCAGACTTCGACGATTCGACACATGGCTTATCTCGATTTGCATGACGAGATAAAATTAGGAACTAATGAAGGGTATGAACTTAAAACTTAGGAACAAGAAATTATACAATTTCAATGTGTGAAATTATTAGATGAGAAATTATGAAATTTCAATGTGTGGAATTAGGTTATTTGTAAATATACAAATAATATGAAGATTTTTTGGATAACACATCGGGAAGATTAGGTAGTGAGCATAAAATTAGGGGTAAATTATGCATTTAATATTTAAACTATCAGTTTTGATTCATTTTAGTATCTAAACTTTTAATTTTTTAAAATCATATCTAATGTTTAGTTTTTTTTTTAGTATCAATCGTTAAAAATTTAACTGAGTATCTAAACACGTTAAGTTTTTAAAAAATTGAAAGTTTAGGTTATAAAATGAAACAAAATTGATAAATTAAGTACTAAACACGTAATTTACCAATTAATTATACAAAACATAAACAAAACTCCTTAAAAATATTTTTATTAAAATACTAATAATGGAATAATAAAAATTTGTTGGGAAAGTAATTTCATAAAAATATTATTAACATTATTAGCATATTAAAATTTATACAAATTACATATTAAAAGTTATACAATGAAAATATTCTAAACACCCTTGTAATATTAAAAATGAAAGTAATTATGTATAAGTGTTTTTTTATTAATTTGGAACAAATATAAGGAATAATTATAATTCTTTTATCGTTAAGTTTATTCAGTTAGTGGGACAACTGTGCAGGATTATGACTGTTAAACTGGTGGCACTTTGCATGCCTTAGAGAGTGTTAGTAGGACGCACGTTGGGTCTAAGGATGTAAGTAAAGATAACGTGCAGCTGTTAGTTGTGCCGTCCTCGACCATGCCTACTGATGGTTTTAAGGTATTGGTGATACACGAGGAAGTGCTTGCTAGTCAGGGGATGGGGCTATCGAAATTCGAGAAAGTGGATGGGTGTCATAAACAAAGAGTTTTGGAGGAGAGAAATGCTATATTTAGTTATCTCCAAAATTTTCAAAAAAAATTCTCGGCCCACTAAAGGAAGCCTCATTAAAGACAAAGCAAGAATTCTAAGAGGAAGGTGCATCGAGAGGAAGTTTTTTCTGATCTTGAAGGCTCTAAAGTTGGAGGTTCGGATGGTCTATGTCGACAAGTTGAGCTAGAAGAGGCAGTTAGGCGGAAGAGACAGTAAGGCAGAAGAAGATTCTTATACTCTTCGTGTGGAAGTTCAGGGCTTTTTGTTTTTGATTTTGGATTTTATGGTTTGGTTCAACTGTGATATTCAGCTTCTGCTTTAGTTGTTTTGTTTATGTGTTGTTTTCGGGCTTAGTTCGGGTGTTAAGTCTGATCAGCCATTTTTGTGACTGTTGTTATAGATTAGATGGATTTCGTTGTGTTAGTGTTGCTGTATAGGGTTTTTTCCGGTTGTTTTGGGTTGTTTGTTTATGTTGGGGGAGGCGATTCTGGTTGTATCTTATGTTTCTTATGGTTAATGAAATCTTAAGGTATTCTTTTCCTCATTTCGCTGATTAAAGAGCTTTTCTACAAGCTCTTTTAATCAAGAATGAAGTTTTTAACGAGACCTTCATTTCCTATAAAAAAAAGTTTATTCAGTTGGTGTATGTATAAATATTTTTTGTCCTCCCGATTCCAAGGCTTTGGTCTGACTAATCCAGACCGACCCACATCGCATACCTGATTTTGGTGGATGAGTCTCACAATAAGAATTTTTTACATACACAAAGACTCGAACCTAAAACATTGCTTAAGCATAATCAAATTGTTTACCACTTGAATCAACCATATTGGTTGTATGTACAAGTGTTTTAAATAAAACGTATGATAATATTTTTATTTTATATTTTCTTTAATCAATGAAAAACGAAAACGTTTATTTATTTTGACATTGTTTGGTAAATTTATCTGATTTCTTATAATTATAATAAATATTAATTAATTTGACTAGATAATAATTCAATCAAAATTTTATTATTTATGACAATTATATTATATGGGATAATATTAAAACAAATAATTAATAATTATATTGTAAAGAGCAAAGATGAAGGAAGAGAGAGCGGAGGAGGGGATCTTGTTCTACAGCTCCTTCAAATTTCAGATGATTGAAATCACGTAAACTGTAAACATAAAAATTTGAGTAACAGTAATAGATTTGCTAAAGAAAATGAAGAATTCTCTGAGAAGATTGCGAAATATTGCACTTAACCGGCACGGTGATGAAACCGAGGACCGAAAAGATTCTCCACCTTTGCCTCAATTCGATGAACTCGATCAAGCTTCTCAGGTCCTTTTAATTCCTTATTTTTTTCCCCTAATTTTCATTCGTCAAATGTTCGCTGTCTGCTTTCGTAGCTCTTATTATGAATTTAAAACATTTTATTTTTATAAAATTTAATGAAGCATCAATGCGCTATCCATTTATTGTCATTCACTCCAAATCGTGGCTTGGAATGTCAACTCTCCCAAAGTCGTTTCCGTAGATAACCGAAACGTAGTGATTATATTGCTGAAGCAAATGTGATTTGTTTTGTATAATTTGCAGGAGATGCGGGATATGAGAGATTGCTACGACAGCTTACTCTATGCAGCTGCCGCAGCAACAAATAGTGCTTTCGGTAATTTGCTGCCATGTTTCCTTTTTTCTGTTTCTGCATTTGCTGTATTTCTTATTTCTGTAACTGAAATGGACTTTTTGTGTTATGAAATTCATTTGTTATGCATTTTGAAGGTTGAACGTTTTGATTTATACTGTGAGTTCGACTGGTCGTCCATGTTATGGTTGTATAGGTATCATTGAGTTATTTTAAGCTCTTTGCATGATGGCATATTGGCATGGTTTGTTCATTTTCCTGTTAATTAATACATTGACTTCAGCACTAGCATTCTTAGCATCTAAAAATGGTACCCAACACATTAGGCTCCCTCTATACGCAGGGTATGGGGAAGGCAAGCTCTTTGTAATGATGGCATGATTTGTTGTTTTCATAGTAATTAATTCATCGAGTTCAGCTCTTATATAAGAAGGCTTAGGAGAAGGTCACGAATTATGAATCTTTCTCCCATATTTATATAGGGAGACTTTTTGGGATTTCATTTTATGACCAAGCAGATAACAAGTAGACACTTGACCACTGGACCAGACAAGACCTTCTAGCGTTATTATCGTCTGCTAGTTTTATGTGTTCGTTTCCGCATGATGAATTGAAGTGTCCTTTTATTTTCTTTTCAAGTCCCTGCCCTAGAGGTTGACAATCTTGTAAATCTAACTGTGCTGTAGTTCTATAAAAATTATGGCATTGATTATTTGATGGTAATTTATATGTTGGCTCAAGCTCAGGCATGGTTATCAAACATTAATTATATGGTCTCTGATTTTGATATGGGAGATTTTGTATGCTATGCCAATCCTGAGATCACTGTTGCAGTCCTTTTTTCCCCCTCAGAATTCTCAGTGTCATTGAGGGAAATGGGTGATTGTCTTCTCGGAAAAACTTCACTTAACGATGATGAAGAAAGTGGTAAGCAGATATATATTATTCTAATATCATGCTCAATGTTGCCAGTTACGTGAACAAATAGCATATAACTTTCCTTGTAAGACCTTACAAATTACACTTTTTTTTTTGATAGGAAAGAAAGGCCTCATTAAAACCCCCCTTCTTAACTAAGGACCTTATAGAAAGGTCATTAATCATAGGAAGGAGGGAAAGAGTGCCTTGGAACTTTTATAAATATTGAAAGTTACATAATAGTTAAAAATAACACTAAATTGCTTGACATAAGACTGAAACACTCCTCCCATCATAAAAACCTACACACAAAATGAAGAAAATCATAAAAAGACCCTTACAATCACCCAATCCCTTCCTTAGCTAAGATATCTGCCTCTCCATTACACTCCCTAGGAATCAACCTAACTGAATGAACCTTATCACTAATAAGCCTTGAAATCTGAAAAACAATAGGCAAGAAAAAAATAGGTGCCAGAACCGGAGAATGAATCCATTCCACTGCAGACGAGCAATCACTTTCGACGATCAACCTAGCTACTGAAGCCCACCTAGAAGACAGAAAAATATCCAAGCCTCTTTTTATAGCTTTTAATTCAGCCAGAGGGGGGATTGCTTGACCAATACTCTCTGAGAAAGTCAAAAGAGTGCAACCATTCCAATCTCTTAATAAACCTCCAATACCTCCACCCGAATCAATCTGCCTAACGACTCCATCTACATTCATCTTTAGGAAGTCTACTGGTGGGGGTAACCAGCGCAAAACAACACTATCAATAACATTACTAGAAGAAACACCATCTGCTAGAGATGGATTACCAATCAGCACATCTTCTTGTATAGTAATACCCGGAAATTTGGCTAGGAACCATTTAGCAATCCTGAATCTAACAATGAAGAATAGTGACACTTTGTCAATAGGAGTTCCTTCGAAAACCCTTGCGTTCCTAAATTTCCATACAGACCAAAAGATGGCTCCCAGAATAAACTTCCAAATCGTAGATTTCGCCCTCAACTCACCCCAGGAACAAAGAAGAGAAGGAGGATCCTGTGGTAGAACCATGGCAATATCCCAGAAATTAGCTACCTTATTCCATAATTCCCAAACCACCATACAAGAGATGAATAGATGCTGCACAGATTCCTCCTGATTCTTACAATAGGGACACAGAATATCATCCCCTAGGGGTAGACCTCTCTTGACCAACTCGACTTTGACAGCTACTTTCTGATGAGCAAGTTGCCAAAGGAAAGCTTCCACCCGAGGTGGTGCAAAGCCCTGCCAAACCCCTTTCGTCCACACTGCAGTACCCCCAGACATAATACCAAGAGTATTCCTACAAGATTTAACTGAGAACAATCCATCTCCACTAGCAGTCCACGATAAAAAATCATCCACAAGTTCTGAAAGTTGAATATCCTTCAACTTAGACATCAACTCCAACCATTGGACCAATTCCCAATCACACAAATTTCTCCTGGTCTGGACAGTCCACACCCAACCACTCGATTCGAAGCTGCCAAACTCCTCAACTTTCCCCTCTTTATTAGGAGAGAGCACAAAAATTCTTGGAAAAAGGAATTTCAGAGGACAGTCATCCGCCCAAACGTCATTCCAAAAGAAATAGACTTGCCATTTCCTACTTTCAATTTCGAATTTGACCTTAGACAATCTCCCACCGAATCATCCTTCAGATAATTATTAGCTATTCCTCTCAAAATCCAAGATGAATGAGGATGAGAGACCTCCCTAATAGACAAAGAATTGCTACTGACCTTATGTCTGCTACACAACACGCCTTTCCAAATGGAATTTTTGTCATTGGCAAATTTCCACACCCACTTACCTAGAAGAGCCCGATTAGTGAGGTTCAAATCAAGAACACCTAATCCACCACAATTTATTGGTCTGCATACCAAGCTCCAATTCACCCAGTGGATTCTCCTCTTTCCCTCCTTATCACCCCATAGGAAATTGGCCATTAACGAGTTTAACTTCTTACCAATAATACATGGCATTCTAAACAAAGAAAGGAAAAAAATTGGTAAGGAAGATAACACCGATTTCAGTAAAACAGTCCTACCGGCCAATGACAAACATGAGGCTTTCCACCCAGCAAGTTTGGCACTAAAGTTCCTAAAAACTGGATCCCAAAGAGCCTCTGAATTCTTCTTGGCACCCAAAGGAAGGCCCAAATATTCTGTTGGAAAGGAACCTACTGAGCAACCCACTTATGATGCCCAATCTTTTAATTCATCGTCCTCCATGTTAATCCCATCTCTGTCATTGCTCTAAATAAAATAGGCCATTCCACAGAATCATAGGCTCTACGGAAATCAACTTTTAGCACTACTCCTCTCAACCCTTGTTTTCTCCAATAATCAATTCCCTCATTCGCAATGAAGGCACAATCCAGCAGCTGTCTCCCCGGTATAAAGGCGAACTGAGACTGACTAATAACGTCACCAACACAGCAGCTAAGTCTCTTAGATAGCACTTTAGAGAGAATCTTGTAAAGACTACCCACAAGACTAATTGGCCTAAAGTCCCCCACACTATCCGAATTAAGTTTCTTTGGAATGAGCGTAATAAACGCATGATTAACCCCATGTTCCCAATCCCTGCCTAAATAAAAATCTTGAAAAAACCTCAAAACATGCTCCTTTAGAGTCGGCCAGCATTTCTTGAAGAAGCCCATTGTGAAGCCATCCGGACCTGGAGCTTTAGAGCTGTCTGAATAGGCTATCGCTTGCCAGATTTCCTGTTCATTGAACTGCTCCTCAAGTTTTGTAGATTGACTTTCTGTCAGCTTGGCGAAATCCAGAGATAAAGCTTCCACTTCCATTATAGACTTGTAGCTGTAAGCATTCTTAAAGTAGTTCATAATATGTGCCTTTATCAAATCCGGATCTGAAACAACAGAACCATTGATCATCAGACTTGTAATTTCGTTCCTCTTGCTCCTGTTTAACGTAGATAGATGAAAGAATCTTGTATTTCTATCCCCATCCTTTATCCATTTTGTCCTAGACTTCTAAAACCAAATACTTTCTTCCACCCTATACAACCTCCAGAGATTCGTTCTGAACTGAGACAACTGATCCCATTCCTGCTGTGAGAGAACAACGTCTTGTGCCTTAAATTCTAAATCCTGGATCTTCAATTCCAAATCTGAAGTAGACTCTGCAATCCCATGAAACTTACTGCCAGACCAATTTCTTATTGATTTTTTTGTACCTTGTAAAAAACTGAAGAATCCCCTTCTGCTCTTACTCCCCCTTCCAATCGATGCATTTCTAATGTGCATACTCCTAGACAACTGTTCTAATGGACTCCAACTTCTTAAACCTTTTGCAAAAGACCCTTTGTTATGCCCTGACCCCTGAATGCTACCCGTGGTGATTGTCCTTGCTTCCCTTTCCACCATTGCTTCCTCTACACTGCTTACTTCCTTGGCCAACACTTCTACCGCCTCTAACATATCTTTATTTGACTCTTTTAGAATACCACACGGCTGGGACTGAAATCTAGCCTTGTCCCCATCACTTATCGAAAATGAGTTATGATCTGATGAAACAGTAACCAAATTCTGCTCATTGGGTTCAAACAAAACATTTTGTTGTTGCTCTCCTACTGCCTCCACCCAAGACTCTTTAAGTTTACCATAGCCCAATTTATTTAAAATCGAAGCTGGCCCAGAAATAGAAATTCTAGAATTATTTGAATTGGGCTCACTGGATTCCTTTGACTGGGCTTTATCACTTTCATTAAGAAAGATATTCCTTAACCCAAGACCTCGAAAATCCCCTTCCAAATTCAAATTTTTTCCAGGAAAGTCTGACACCTTCGCACCACTATGTTGACCTTCATTTTCCTGCGACATTAAATGCTGCCCCCCTTTGCCGCCTGCCAAATCTGCACCATCCACCCTTACCAACCCTTTGCCCCCTGCCTCTGATGTACCGACTTCTCCTACTAGCCTCCTGTCTACTTTGTCCCTAGACTCCACAGCTAGCAATTCTAGACCGCCCATCCCGCCTGAGTACCGATCCTCTTCCTCCTCTGATGAAGCTTCATCTCTGAACTCACCTTCTCCCGCCACCATAGAATTTTTTGCAGAAAAACTCTCCTGTTTTATACTAACCGATCCCACAGTAATTTTGACCTTAAAAGATCTCCCATACGAACCCAATGTAACAGATTCCTGAATATCGAAAGGACTGGCCACCCTCAATAGAACTCGTGCTACCGCCATGTCCTCTTTTCTGACCGTCGACTCATGAAAGCATACCAGCTTCCCCCATCTTAATACAAGTTTTTCCAAAAAGGGGATATTCCAGCAAAGTAAAGGGATTCCAACTAAGTCTATTGAACAAAATGCCATCGGAACACCATCAACATTCATAACCGGATCAAGCCAGTCGAACCAGAAGAACAGTTCCTCCCGCCTGCTTGACCAAGCCTCCTCAAAATCTTCCATCGAACCAAACATTAGGATACATGAGTTCCATGTGAATCCCCATTTAGCTCCCTTAACCTTAATCCCCTCACCAGCCAACCCCTTCACCACTATCTCCAAATCTAAATGAGGTTTGATAATCCCAGTTAAAGATCTTTTCACCCAATTATAATCATCCGGGGGAATATGCATCTCCCACAAATTCCTCATCCCAGTAACCATACCTGAGAGACCCTCTCTGGTCCTTTTACTCACTGGAACTTCCCTCCTCCCATCAACAGAGACAACTGCTTCCTTATTCGGTCTTTCATAACTGCCCGCCCTATCATACTCCTCTCTATCCTGTACGTTCACCACCTCTTTGTACGTTCTGCCGTCCCTAGGGCTATTCGGCTTCTCCAGAACCACCTGCTGCCTACCTTCCTCCCCTCTCACTTGCTTTTTTACTTCCCCCTGGAAACTTTTGTCATCAGTTGCTCTTCTCCTTTCCTTACCTTACAAATTACACTTGAACTGATTTCCTTTCCAGTAAACAAGTTTTCTGCTATAAATTGCCAGTTTGAAGGTACTTTTATTTTAGTTTGTCATCTTGGATTTAAGAGACGAATCAAGTGAAATCTTAGCTTATTCACTTTCTGTATATCTGACATGAGGAATCTTCCTTAGTCTTTTGACCTTCAATCTCTAAAGTTAGAACGATGGAATTATTTTATTTTCCTTTATTTTTTCTGTTATAGCACAGGTTATTTTTACCCAGTCTGGCTCATTCAAATAGTAGTATTTGGTTTTGGGTGCATCATAGTATTATATATAGCAGCAGATTAGTTTGAAAGGGGATTTATGAAAATAAGCTGGTTTAATGTAGGTAAAGTACTATTAATGCTCGGAAAAGTACAGTTTGGACTCCAGAAACTTGTTGACAGCTATGTGAGTCTCCTCTCTTACCTTTTTTGTGGGTTTACAATCTGGAAGCTCTGCAAAAAATTTTTCATCTTACTTCTTTACTGTTCTAATAATTATTACTTTGCATCCTTCAGCGATCTCATATAATCCAGACAATCACAAGCCCATCAGAGTCCCTTCTTAATGAACTTCGAACAGTTGAGGTTAGTTCGCTTGGACTGTTTCCTCCAATTTTGTCTAGTTCTGTATGGTCTTTTACTGTATAAAGCTATTTCTGATCATTCTATCATGTGAATATTGTCACTTCCAGTTTTGCATTTGAATCTTCATGTTAATTTAGTGATCAGTTATTTGATTGTAATTGTTTGTCTTTTAGTGCTCTTTACTTTTCTACTTTCTGGACATATACCTACCAAGATGTTGGCTAGCATGAGACTAACGTGCGAAGGTAAAGGGATTAGGAGTACAATAATCTTTTAAGATTTATCAACCCTCTTTTGTTCTGCTAATGTGAAAAACTTCGAAATTTCGGAATTGCTGAAGTGAACAATTTTCGGGGAAGAGAAGCCTTTGTCATATCTGTCTGTTTATTACTTCTTTCAAGTAATAGAATTTTCCAATGAGGCCAAGAAATGCCTCTGTGTTCTACTCCATGTTGTTCTAAAACATATGAAACCCTTCGGATGACATCCAAAATGTTTTCAGAAGGCCTACCCCTGGGAACTTGCTTTCTATACTGCAATCATTATAGTTTTGAGTTCATTCAAACATCTTAAGGGCTCAGATAAGAATATGACATTGGTACTTGATTTTTGCAGGCATCTCTGACATCTTAAATCTTTCTCTTTTTCTTCTTCTTCTTCTTCTTCTTTTTTTTTTGTTGTTGCTTCTAAAGCATTGAGATATCATTTTTTTTCCTTAGGTATTCTGTTCATATTGTCAACAAAGTTTAAATTTTCATAGGTGAATCACATTTTTTTTGTTACACAAATTACTGACTACATATTATAGAGGCAGTAAAGCATTTAAACAATGCAATATTGACTTCCCCTCTGTTCATACAGGAGATGAAGCGGCAATGTGATGAGAAAAGGTCCAACTTCTATTTTTTTTAATATATAAACAGACACAGAGTTGAAGGATAATGGCTTCTGATATTTGATGAATTATCTACAGAAATGTGTATGAGTACATGGCAATGAGACACGAAGAAACAGGAAGATCAATATGTGGGAAAGGGGAGAATTTCTCCGCACAACATTTACGAGTAGCGCATGATGAATATCAAGAGGAAGCAACTTTACTTTTTTTCCGCTTGAAATCTCTAAAGCAAGGACAATCAAGAAGCCTTCTTACACAAGCAGCAAGACACCATGCTGCTCAGGTTTCTTTTCTGTTTTTTCTTTGCTGAACTCCTTTTATTGCTTCTGCTGTTGGTTATTGACCTGTTTCCTTTTTCTTGAAATCAGCTGAACTTTTTTAAGAAGGCTCTTAACTCTCTTGAAGAAGTAGAGCCACATGTGCAGAAGATCACTGAAAAGCAGCATATTGAATACCACTTCTGTGGACTTGAAGATGATGAAGGAGAAAATGGTGATCCTGATGGAAATTATGAAAATGATGATGACGATGAGAGTAGTGACGACAACGAAGAGGATGATGCTGATGACCACCATGATGGTGAATTGAGCTTTGATAATAGACAAAATGACCAACATCAGAACGTATTTTATACGTCACAGAATTCAATGGAGGTGACTACTTAACTTGCTATTTTGTATTGAGAAAAGCTAACAGACTTTTTCTTTAAAGAAATTCTATTTGCTTTTAGTAGGAATTAGGAATTATAGAGATGATTTGTTACCATTCCTATAGAGATATGATTTGTTACCATTCCTATAGAGATATGATTTGTTACCATTCCTATAGAGATATGATTTTGTAAATAGATTTCTACAATCCCTTATTTTAAGGGATCATATCCTAGGATTATTATTTTTCCTTTCTTAGAGTTTCCTACTTTAGAGAGAGCTTTTGTATATAAATATGTAATCTGTCATATTGAAAAGAATAAGAAATTACAGAGAATTACTCTGATTTCTACATGGTATCAGCTTAGGTTACGGTTTCTTTCCAACCTAGATGATGTCCACAACTTCTTCTCCTACTCCGGAGATCACTTCAAATCCAGAAAATTTTTCTGGTTCTGCTGCTCAATCAGAAGGTAATCTGGTCATGAAAGAACCAGAAGGTAAACCTCATGCTACAATTTTTTTCTCCTCCCAGTCGTCCCTTAATTGGATCCTCGATTCTGGTGCTACGGATCATATGACTGGTAATAAGGATTTGTTTTGCAATTTTTTTCCAAACTTTGGTAAAACTGTCAAAACGGCTGATAGTTCTTTGTGCAAAATAGAAGGACATGATACTGTTATTCTCAATGACCATATTGTACTTAAAAATGTCCTCTTCGTACCAAATCTGGCTTGCAATCTCGTTTCCGTTGGTAAACTTTCCACCGACTTGCACTGCTCTGCAATTTTTAATGATATTGATTGTACGTTGCAGGCACTGAACTCGAAGAAGATAATTGGTAAGGCCAGCTTGCAGAATGGTCTCTACATTCTTCATGCCTCTACTAAAACCGAAATCTCGAAATCTTTCACCGCTTTTGAAAAAAGTTGATAATGTTATGTTATGGCACTATCGTTTAGGTCATCCTAGTTTTCACTATCTTGCAAAAGTTTTTCCTGCTCTATTCATTCATAAAAGGCCAAATTCTTTTTTTTGCAAAGTTTGCTCTCTTGCCAAACACACTAAATCAACTTATTCTTCTTCTACATATAAGCCTTCTCACCCTTTTGCTTTGATCCACAGTGATATTTGGGGTCCTTCTCGGGTGAAGAATGCTGATAATTGTAAGTGATTTATCACTTTCATTGATGATCACAGTAGGATAACTTGGACTTATTTGCTAAAAGATAAATCTGAAACTGCAGGTGTTTTTACCCAATTTTATAACATGGTTCTCACTCAATTTGGGTCTAAAATTCAGCTCTTTAAATCTGATAATGGCAGTGAATTTTTTGCTAAGTCTTTGGGTGCGTTTTTCAGGGAAAATGGCATAGTTCAGATTAGTTCTTGTGTTGATACCCCACAACAAAACGATATTGCTGAAAGAAAAAATAGACACCTCCTTGAAGTTATTCGTTCTCTTCTATTTACCACTAATGTTCTAAAATATTTGCGGGGGGAAGCCTTATTAACTGCCAAATATTTAATCAATCGAATGCCTAGTAAGGTTTTACTATTTCAAACACCTCAATCTATATTTTTGCAATACTTTCCCCATTTTAAACTTATCTCCTCCATTCTTCCACTTAAAATATTTGGTTGTACTGTTTTTATCCAAAACATTGCTCCTAATAAGTCCAAGTTAGATCCTAAATCATTAAAGTGTGTACTGGTTGGGTATTCTTCACTTAAAAAGGGTTATAAATGCTATCATCCTCCTTCAAAACGATTTTTTACCACTATGGATATAACATTTTATGAGCAGGATCCCTATTTCACTCAGGCTGAAATTCAGGGGGAGACATGGAAGGATTTTCAGCCACATCAGGTATCTCCTCCTACTCTTCATTCTCAACCTTCAGAATTGTCACTAATTTTGTCCTTACCTACAAATTTGTCACCTATAACTACTCCCATTGATTCACCGGTAGTACCTATCACTACTTCACCCATACCCACTTTAAATACCCTTTCTGAAAATACACCTACTCCCATTCAAAATATTCCACAAACAACACCAATCGAACAACTCCGTTTTTATACAAGGAAAAAAAAACATATTCCTGAGGTTGTTTTGCAATCTGATGCTTGCCGAGAATTGGATTTGGGTCCAGCTGTCGAAATAAAAGAAAAAATCAGTAAGTCCACTTCCCCTACTCTAGATGACTTCCCTATTGCTATTAGAAAAGGGGTTAGACAGTGCACCAAGCATCCTATTGAAAAATTTGCTGGTTACAATTCATTGATGCCGTCTTTTCAAGCATTTACAGCAAACTTGGATAAAGAACAGGTTCCCACAAGCATAGCTGAAGCTCTAAAGGATTCAAAATGGAGAAGGGCTGTTGAAGAGGAAATTTGTGCACTAGAGAAAAATGCTACTTGGACTGTTACAGACCTTCCTCAAGGAAAAAAGGCTGTTGGCTGTAAATGGATCTTTACTGTAAAGTATAACTCAAATGGTAGCATCCAACGATACAAAGCGAGACTAGTGGCCAGAGGCTTTACACAAACATATGTAATAGATTTCACAGAAACTTTTGCACCTGTGGCGAAGCTGAATACTATTCGAGTACTCCTAAGTTTGGTTGTAAATTGCGATTGGAAATTACACCAACTTAATGTAAAAAAACGCTTTTCTTAATGGCAAGCTAGAAGAAGAAGTCTATATGAAGTTGCCACCTGGCTTAAAGTCTGTTGAAGGAAGAAACAAGGTGTGCAAGCTCAACAAGTCTGTATACGGGTTAAAACAATCACCCAGAGCTTGGTTCGAGAGGTTCACTAAAGTCATCCTAAAAAACGGCTACAAGCAATCCCTCGCCGATCACACTCTTTTCATCAAGGTAACTTCTACAAATAAGAAAGCTATCCTTATTGTGTACGTGGACGACATAATTCTTACCGGATATGATGAAGAAGAGATTTGCAATTTGAAGAAGTTGTTAAATAAGGAATTCGAAACCAAGGACTTGAGAAAGCTAAGGTATTTCCTAGGAATGGAGGTGGCAAGGTCAAAAGAAGGACTTGTGATCAACCAAAGAAAATATGTACTTGATTTACTCAAAGAAACTGGTTTTCTTGGTTGTAAGCCGATTGATACACCAATGGAGGCAAGCTTGAAATTTAACAAAGAATATGGGTCCTTGGTAGACAAAGAGAAATTTCAAAGATTAGTTGGGAAACTAATTTATTTATCCTTGACAAGGCTAGATATAGCATTTCCTGTAAATGTGATAAGTCAACACATGACTAATCCTACTGAAGAGCATATGGCAGCAGCAAATAGAATTCTCAAGTACTTGAAGAAAACTCCAGGACACGGTTTAATGTTTAAGAAGACACAAGACAGAACTGTTAAGATCTTTACAGGTTCTAGTTGGGCCGGAGACCTTACTGAAAGGAGATCCACTAGTGGCTACTGCACCTTTGTTTGGGGAAACCTTACAACTTGGATAAGTAAGAAACAATCTGTCGTTTCAAGAAGTAGTGCTGAAGCTGAATTTAGAGCACTAGCATTGGGAATATGCGAAGGAATTTGGCTACTTAAACTACTGAAAGAACTTGTCACTAATCAAGAGGATCACTTTGAAGTTTTGTGTGATAATCAATCTGCTATTCAAATTGCCAAGAACCCAGTTCAACATGATCGGACAAAGCATGTTGAGATTGATAGGCATTTTATTGCTTATCAAGTTAACAAAAAGACAACCACACTTTCATACATTCCTTCAGAAGAACAAGTTGCAGACATTCTTACTAAGGCTTTGCCAAAGCCTGTTTTTAATAAATTCCTATTCAAACTGGGATTATACAATGTATATTCTCCAGCTTGAGGGGGAGTGTAGGAATTATAGAGATGATTTGTTACTATTCCTATAGAGATATGATTTGTTACCATTCCTATAGAGATATGATTTTGTAAATAAATTTCTACAATCCCTTATTTTAAGGGATCATATCCTAGGATTATTATTTTTCCTTTCTTAGAGTTTCCTACTTTAGAGAGAGCTTTTGTATATAAATATGTAATCTGTCATATTGAAAAGAATAAGAAATTACAAAGAATTACTCTGATTTCTACACTTTTTCTTCTTTTGTGTGGAATGGATCTCATTATCTTGAGTGTTATAAAGAAATTTCCATCTCACACAGGGTTCACATGCAGAAAACAAGAATCAGTTCTATTTTCACTTCTAAATGTATTAATTATAGAATGCTTTCCATGTGATTTTTTGCAGTTAGATCAAATGGGCGTTACATTTTCCCAGGTTGCAGTGGTGGAGGCTGCAAAGGTAAAGAACTTTTTGTATTATTAATTACAGGTCGTGTAGATAACCGAGAGATATGGAAGAGATAATTCTTCTCAAAATTACATAATTAATCTGGTGAGTACAAGCCTATTTTATATATAATTTTCGGAGTTTCCTGCTAGAACTAGACTACCTTATAGTATTTTATTCTAATACAACATGCTAATAGTTAGGATTAGAATTAGAATTAATTGAACTACTAGGTAAGCCTATACAATCGTACAACTCACAGTTCGCAATATGAGGAAATTTTGTAAAATTTGGGGTATGTATATTCACATGGAGATTTCATGTTAGCATTTCCTGATAATAATCCGTTCCATTGATCGCAATTTGTATTATGCATCCATGATCTGCTTAGTAATGATATCGGTTTTTAATATAACAGTTTTTTTCTCACCACACTTTCCCTTTAGTAGTTACCATCATATATAGCGAAACTAATCATCCTAGCAAACAAGGGTGAGGCTAGGAATTTTGTATTGGGGTTGGGATAAAAAAGGATCAAATTATATTTCTTTTTCGGGGCCGGAGGGGAATAAATATTTTACTATCTTTGAAGTATAAAAGCACAATTTTAAATTTTGAGAACAGTCCAGAGGAAGGGAGACAGGAATCAGCCTCCCCCCAACCACCCATGCTAGTACCTATCATGTTTTACTGGATATCCAATGAACCATGCAAATTCAATAACCGAGACTTTTTGGTCGGTTGATTTATATCCATTGACATTTTCCGAGCACAAAATTTGTTCTGCTTCCACTGAAGAAACTTTATAGCGTCAAATTTTACACGGTTTTACTTTATTGGTAGTTTAGTTTACTGTTCTTTATGTTACAGGAAAATAAAGGAAGAAGCCGTCATCATTCTTGTACATTTAGAGGAGAAATAAGGAACAGCAGCCAATCAGCTCCACTTTTTTTTGAGAACAAATCTGACCCTTCTGAGAAAATGCAACCGTTATCGGCACGGAAGTTTGGCTCATATGTATTACCGACACCAGTTGCCACAAGAGTTTCTACTGGATTAAGTAATCCAGCTCCTCAGTCTCCAATGAAAAGTTTGAATGAGCAATCAAGCAATTCATGGCATTTATCTCCACTTGAACATAAGAAATATGAGAGGGTTTGGGGAGATGAGAAAATTTCTGGATCTGCTTCTGCTGTTATAAATGCACAGTCACTTCTCAAAGAATGCAATAGTCCTTCCTCTTCAACTCGACTACCCCCTCGAGCTAGTCCAACTGTAGCTTATTCTAAGAAAATCAAACGACATGCCTTTTCTGGTCCTTTGACTAGTAAACCCTGGTCTACCACATCTGTTGCAGTGGAGCATCCCCAATTCTTCTCTGGGCCAATTTTGAGAAATCCAATGCCTCAAAGGCCAGTATCATCTCCAAGAGCATCACAAAGTGCTTCCCCTACTTTTATATCCTCACCCAAAATAAGTGAGCTTCATGAACTTCCTAGACCCCCAGCCAGTCCGGCCTCAAAGTCTTCAAGACCTTTCGGCATGGTGGGTTATTCAGGTCCCTTGATGCCTAGAGGTCACGGGCTCTCTGCTACAAATCAATCGGTGGTGTCAAGAGCTGCCTCTCCACTGCCACAACCTCCTCAGGTTACTCGCAGTTTTTCCATACCCTCAAGCAGAGGGGTGTCATTACCTGAGTCCAAGCCACTGGAAACATCTATCAGTTTAGGGATGTCTCAAGATGTTGTCTCACCTACTTTGACACCGATATCTTTTTCTTAAAACCGACCATCATCAACTACTTCGTAAACTGTTGATAGGTAAACGAAACACAATGCTCCCCCCTCCCCCAACCCCAACATCCAGAGACTAAAATTATCAAAATTCCAGTAAGTTGGTTTGTACTATGGGGGAAACAGTAGATAATGATAGCTTTATCAGTTGATAGATAATTCATTATATGGTGCTTTCCATTCATCTTTCTTTCCTGGTTCTGACTGTTGGTATGTGAATAATGCAGGAGCTGATTGGTTAATCTCATTCCTGTACTCATTCATTCCTTACCTTAAGGTACGGTTGTCATTGCCGTGTCAAGGAGGTGCAGATGTGCATATTGTCCTGGTCAATTACTTTTTCCTACAATCATTGTTATATATTTTAGCCGCATTCGCATCTTGTCCATCGCCATGAATGCTTGGCATGGATGCCTGCCGTGCGTTCCAAGTTTAGAGAAATTTTGTATAATTCAATTATGTCTTATGGTACCTTATTTTCACAAGTTTATGAATAAGTTTTTCAACTATGATTTTTACTTTGAAATATCCATGTCCAACACATTCGACGAACTTGAATATGAAACACTTTTAAAACAATTTAACATATTCATATTTGGCATTCACCCCAAGTTAGTCAAACATTAGAGTTCTATGAGTCATTCCTCTAGGTATGATCCTCATCATCGATATACCACTAAGATAGACCAACATTTCCTGTAGATCTAACATGATATGCTGTGCTGTTCATATGTTAAAAATTTGGTCAGGAACAGGACTTACGGAATTTTAGATTGAATTAACGGTAAGCCTTGTCGACAAGATCTTTGTGAGACTTGCTTAAGGGAATGCAACTGAGTCCAATACCACAATAACAATATTCACAAGAGGCTTGCAACTGAGTCCAATACAACAATAACAACATTCACAAGAGGGCTTGCAACTGAGTCCAATACCATAATAACACTAGTGGTATGACAATTCCAAATATTAGAACTAAAAATTGTTTTTTATATTTGTGTAGAGTATATGACCAGACCATAGTCTTTAGTAAAGCTAAGCACACAGAGAAATGGTTCAACAGCATAGGGAAGTGCTTTATCCAGGAGTTATCATGCAGGCACCGCAAAACTCTCCTGCACCCATTGTGGCACGTCCACCACTGCACATGGATCTGATTTCTCAAAATTAGCAACCTACACCAACATCGGCAAACAGGTAAATGAATTAAAAGACCAAACAATGATCAAGTGGACAAAGACAGGCAAATGAGTCTCCGATATTGATTACGATCGATTTGTTCGTTCGATTACGATCAGAATCAATCACAATACACAAACAGATGGGTTGATAATCGGAATACATTCGAACCTAGGCTACAATAACTTTGAACAAAGTTCACACATATTAGAACTTAAATCAGAATACTTTGTATTGAGAATCTACACATGTATTTAATCAGATCCATGCTTGAACTGAGAACTCACTTGTTCATTGCATTTAGGGCAATGGTGATACTTATGCCAAAGGCAGTCCATTGAAGGGCAAAGGAAGCAGATTCCAAGCATAAACGGCATCATGCATCCAACAACCGCTGCCAGGCTAGGTTTAGATCTGAATTACACATCAAGATCTAAAGGCAGTTAAAAGGAGAACCCAAAACATACACAAGTGAATTAACTCACGGAGAATCCAAAAATCGATCGACGCCTAGTTTGCCCAGTTTTAAGAACAAAAAAGCAAGGGTTTTTTTTATTATACCTGACATGGGTGAGTCCGGAATTACCACAATAAGGGCAGTTAAAAGGAGCAGGGGTATCGCGATACATGGTTTGCTGAATCGGGATTCCCTTGGGATCGCCGTATATGGCGTTCGGCGGTATCATTCCAGCCTGGTACGGATTCACCCCGACATAGTATGGTACTCCTATGGCCGGCTGCTCTGTCTTCGACATATCTAAGCTTCTTTTTGGGGCGTGTTGACTTTGATCGGCGATCTCAGGAAAAAAAACGAGAAGAAAGTATACTTTCCTCAATTAAGCCAAGAGAGAATTTTCAAAATTATATACCCTAATTACCAGTTGTTCGGCTGCGCTATTCACACTTTAGGGGCGTTTGGTTCATAGTATCTCACGTTACTGGGAATGAAATGTGATTCCCCATTTAGTTGTCAAATAATCTCAACTCTTAATAATAAGTTATTTTCAACAGTAATATTTTAGGTTTATTATTGGTAATGTGAATACCTCTTCTCTTAGATATTGTTACATTCCTGGCGTTTTGGATTAAAATGTTCTTAATTTTTTATTTCAAAAATATTTTTCTTATGTCGTTGAATAAAAAATATTATATGGAGGTTAAATTACAAATTTATCCTTAACTATTTTAGATTTACAAAAACAAATCTATAATTAGAATTTTATATGAAGTTAAGGGGTTAAATTTTTTTTACCCTTTCATTAAACCTATTTAATATTTTCAATTTTATAAAAAAAAAGTATATAAATTTTACGAATTTATATTTTTAAAAAATATATATATAAATTAATTATAGTAATATTATAGTAGAATTCAACTTGTTAAAAAATAAATATATAATAAGGATAATTTGGTAAAATATACATTCCAATAATTTTTTATTCATTTAACCAAACAATGTAATCTTACATTCATACTAAACGAACCAAACACAAAATACAATATTCTCAGTAATCTTATTCCCGCTGGTAATCTTATTCTCGTCAATAATTTTACATTCCGTGAACCAAACGCACCCTTATGATTAATTTTACACAAAGGGTCAACTACATAAATAATCATTAATGTTCGAGTAAATTTTACTTTTTTAATTGATGTTTTAAAAGTAATTATTTGGTCATTGATATTAGAGAAAATAACCTCAGTGACCAAAAATTCCAGATAATATACGATTTTGACCAACTTTTTTTGGATTTGCGAAAATGACCAACAAAATCGCAATGCGATCTCTAATTCGCATTGCGATCTCCACTATCGCAAATTCGCGTTGCATTTCGCGTTGCGATAGTTGAAAATCGCGTTGCGATTTTTCATTTCGCGTTGCGATAGTCTATAGTTGTTGTTTCGAAAGTCTGCAGTTGTCGTTGCGATTTTCCAAATTCGTTGCGATAGTTAAAAAAAAGATTTTGTTTCTTAAGAATTTTTTCTAAAAAAATAGTATCCGCGCGGACGTGTCGAAGACACGTATGACCACGACCACGACCCGAGACGGCGGCGGCGGCGCGCGAGAGTCCCCCTTGTTCTCTATCACTCAACAAGGAAGTGGGAAAGCCAAGCCTTAAATATCATTCCCAATAGTGTTTCCAATACTATGTGGGATTTGAGCATTACCAACACTTGTTCCCAATACTATGTGGGATCGAGCCTTAAATAGTGATATTATTTTTGAATGTTTTGCTTAAAATTGCAATAATCGCGATTGATTATAGATTGACTTTTAATTATGACATATTTAATCGTATAATACTAATGCAATTGGTTGTTGATTCAGTTGTTTTAAGGTGCATGATTGTTAATTGTTTTATGAATAATCACATTGTATTGGAAACAAGGGTTGGTAATGCTCAATCCCACATAGTATTGGAAACACTATTGAGAATGGTATTTAAGGCTTGGCTTTCTCACTTCCTTGTTGAGTGATAGAGAACAAGGGGGACTCTCGTGCGCCGCCGCCGCCGTCCATCTCGTCTCGTCTCGGGTCGGGTCGGGTCGGGGTCGTGGTCGTGGTCGTGGTCGTTGTCGTGGTAATACGTGTTTTCGACACGTCCGCGCGGATACTATCTTTTTAGAGAAAATTCTTAAGAAACAAAATCTTTTTTTTTAACTATCACAACGAATTTTCGCAACGAATTTGGAAAATCGTAACGACAACCGTAGACTATCGCAACGCGAACTGGAAAATCGCAACGCGATTTTCAACTATCGCAACGCGAAATGCAACGCGAATTTGCGATAGTGGAGATCGCAATGCGAATTAGAGATCGCATTGCGATTTTGTTGGTCATTTTCGCAAATCCAAAAAAAGTTGGTCAAATTCGTATATTATCTGGGATTTTTGGTTACTGAGATTATTTTCTCTTGATATTATCGATTTATAATAAATCGATCACTCGTCATTATTAGAAATAATAGAATACTGACGTGACACATTAAACAAATGATTTGATATTGCTTTGTCACACGTTATACTCTCCAAAACTTTTGAATGATGTTCTTCGACTCTCTTCTTCAAATGATTAATACCATAATATCACCACCGTCATGGATCGAATCATGAATCGAAGAGTGTCGTTGCATAACTCATCGGTGGTGCAATAGCTGATGATCGAAAACCATCCTAACTGATGGAGCTTCAACATTATGCGGTCACCACCAATCCATCATCAACAATCACCGTCCTCTTTCTTCCCCTAGCCATTGTCGTCACTTATTTTCTTTCCCCAATCCATCCCTTCCTCCACTTTTTCTCTGCAAGATAATTAAGAGCTTCCCGAGTCTCCTATTGTTAATAGATGGGAGTCTTGTGTTGAAGTTTTGTGAATTTTAAAGAGATTTAAAGGAAGTCTAGATCGATAAAAATAATAAAGGACACCGAGACGAATTCATTGATACTTAAAGTGACAATAGAATGATGGTTCTAGCAACTAACTTTTAACGAGAAAAGAAACTGAATTTTAAAGAAGTAGACGAACAAAAAAATTGAAATGAGAAAATGTTATATTATATAAAACGAATTCAAATTTAGCTTACGTGTCAGCGAAACAAATGGTTGTCCCTTGTTCCCATATATAATGGGGTAAGGGGGAGGTAAGATAATAGGCTGCCTCCAACACCAGATTGAGAGCAACTTCCGTAGAAGACCTCCGAATTATGAAATACCCTCCGTAGAGCAGCTTCCATATGTCAGCGAAAAGAAGGCAATTAATGTCACCAAGATGTTTTAGAATTAATGTCACCCCGATGTTTTAGAATTAAAGTATCTAAATTCACGAAAAAGTATTAGATTATACCCACTAATAATATTTGTTCATATCATCTTTTAAGGTGAATTTTCATCTTTTTTATATGTAAATGAGAAATGAGTAGTTATTTGAAAGTTGTTTTAAAATTTGTGACTTTCATTCACTGAAATCACGAGATTACGTGATGAACCGGTTCTATTAAAAATATTTACTGGATCCCTAATCTCATATGGCAAGAGAGAACAAAAAGACATATGAGTGATAGAGGGATAAAAGGTAAGCCCGACCCAATACATGTGTCAAATGGACCTTAGTTCAGGGTAGCATTTTGAGGGGTATCAATTTTCTAGTGTTTATAGTGTGTATATATATATTTGGTCTAAAAAATTAGCCCTAAACACCTGATCGTAAAATAATAGAGGTTTTTGCTTCAAAAAATGTACGAAGACATCATTTTAGGTGTATTTATAGCCTTGTAGGTTTTGGTTTATATTAATATTGATATTGTTTGACTATAATTTATATTACATTTTTTGTTTTAAAAAAATATTTATGTTTTGTTTATCATACGATACAAATATAACGACATAAAATTATTATTTTGCCCAAAACATTAAAACTTATAACCGGCCTGATAAAAGGTGGATGAGGGTCCTTGTCTTCACCCACTTCCCCACTATCACTCTGTCTGTTAAACTAATTGACCTATCATCACCCATCCCATTCTATCAACCTCTTCACCCATCGCAATTGCACCTTAGATTCCCTTCTGCCACTCCAAAGTAAACAAAAACCAAAAGCTTCCTTTGTTTCCTATGCAGCTCTGCACTACCTCAAGAGTGTGACTGTGAACGGAGAAGGACTAGAGGGACAGCTCAAGTTTTATACATCTTAGATATTTTTTTATATTTTTATTGATAATATTTTTTTATCTTTAAAATTTTATTAATTTTCATCCCGATCACATAAAACTGTACGTCCGTCCTTCATATCAGTCTAGTATTATCTTCCGTACGTGAATCTTTTTAACATCTATCTGTCATTACTTCGGTTTTAACCAGGTGGTTAAAACCGAATACAAACAACCCCCAATCCCATCTTTCCAACTTGGCACTGTCCAAAAACCAAATGCCAAAGCCTGCACGTGATCATCTCTTCACAAGAACCACAGTCACAATGGGTCGGGTCGGGTTTAACCATGACCCACGACTTATTATTGATGTTAATATCGCTAATTGCAGAGTCATGGAAGTTGAGCATTGTAACTTTGTAAGGTTGGTGGTAGGTGAAGGTAATGAGGCATAAATGATGATTATTAACTCAGACACATAGATAGATAGATAGGACTTGGGCACAAGACGGAGATTGAAGTTTTGGAACTCATATTATCTTCACCTCGCGTCCAACTGAAGGGGCACTTCAGAGTTCAGACCCCCCGCCCCCACACCCCAAGAGCACCTTTAGTCTCTGACATCGAACTTCTGTCTTACTATTACTTCCTCTCTCTTGTTTTACAGCTGTGTAATGGTCCAAGTAGTTCTGTAAACCAGATGAGTTGAGTCGAGTTTAAATATTAGTGAGTTTAACTTAAAAAATCGTAAACTTAAAATTTTCAAGTTTCATTGAAACTCGAAATCATAAATCAAAACTCGTAAAAGCTCGAAATGAAGAAAAAAATCTTAAATTTAACTTGAATCTTAACTTTAAATACATGAAAATATCATAATGCATTAAAAAACAATATATAAAGTTAATATTATTAATAATTTATTTTAAAAAATAAAATATTAATATATTATATTTTCGAGATGCTCACGAGTTTTTCGAGTCGAGTATCAAGTAGCTTGTCTCGGCTCGTTAAAAATTCAAGTCGAGCTCGAGCTAGCTCAAGCTCCATTCGAGTCAAGTTTGACCAAGTTGATCTCGACTAGCTCATAATATGTCTCGTCTCATTTACGGACTTAGGTCCAACTTGGTAGAGATGAAATGCTAGTCCAATAAAGGTATTAATTAAAAACCTTATAAGGGTAAACAATGCATTCAGTACCTAAATTATTATTTTTGATTTATTTTAATATTTAAACTTTTATTCTTTTTAAATTATACCTAACGTTTGGTTTTTATTTCATTTTAGTATCCCACCATTAAAAGTTTAACAGACAGACTAACGATGCATCGCTCCGATGGATAGACTAATCAATCCAAACAGCAGACCATGAGAGAATGATGAGTCGACCAACATAGTCTAAGTTTAGTCCAATTGGATGGTTGACGATGCAGATCAAAAAATGAAGAAATTGAATACTCCATCGTCGATTTGAATATATTGAAATATTTTTTGATGAAACGGAGATTGAAATCGCATTCAGGGGTCAAAAAATTTTGGGTTGGAATGTTTGGGCTTTATCATTCGACAAATACAACGGTCGACAACTATAAACACGAAACTCGTACGTTGAGTTTTTTAACGATATGATACTAAAATAAGATACAAATTAAATGTGATATATTAAATTTTCATGTAATAACTCTTATATTTATTGTGTCCAAAGCTGCCAAATCTAGAAACCTGACATAATTAGTTAATTTTGGTATTTCCTCCCAACTAGGTATGGCAAAAAAATCTGAATTCGATGGGGAAAATCGAAAACCGAATTAAACGGGTCGGGTTCGGGGATGATAAACGGGGATGGGGACGGAGACAGAGAAAATCCATTTATTTTAAACGGGGACGGGGACGGGTTTGGTAATCCCCGCCCCAATTACATGCCCCGATTATCCGTTCAGATACCCGACCCGATAAATATTAAAAATAATTATTTATATATATATATATATATAATATTAATAAATTTAATTTAAATAAAAAATATATATTTAATTTAAATATATATATATATATATATATATACCCGGCCCGATTCCCGGCCCAATACTGACCCAATACCCGACCCAATACCCGGCCCAATACCCGTTTAAATAACCGTTTGTGCTAAACGGGAATACCCGTTTCCCCGCGGTTTTCCCCGATTACCCGACGGGGATCCCCGTTTAAATCCCCACGATTTTTTAAACGGGAACGAGTACCGATTTTTTAAACAGGAACGGGGACGGGTACCAATACCCAGCCCGAACCCGACCCGTTGCCATCCCTACTCCCAACTTAGCAAACACCAGCAATAGACATAAGCTGATTAATTAATGCCTATTACACTGTGGCACCAATGAACTAACTTTCAAAAATGACAATTTTTTAATATTAAAATCTCGATACCTCAAAGAATAAAAAATAATTATTGGTACTCAAAGATAACTTTCAATTCATTTGACATTAAACGCTCACACCCTTGAGATTCTTAATACTCGAATTCGAGACCTCAAGAAATAACAACAATTACATCACCACCAAAGTAGTTTAATTCATAAAACACATCTAGTACTTGGTCGTACTAAACCTAAACATACTAATGGGTCAAAGTGACATTCTTAGTGAGGGAATACAGAAAACAAAGAATGATGCACATCTGTCATAAATGAAAATTCTATAATACCAATTCAGAGAAAACTAGTTAATAAGAGGCTAAAGAATATCTGGGGAAACTAAAACTAAAACAAAGGTGAACGACATGGCAAATATTATTCTTTGTTTTTCACTCCACACAGTCACAGTCAGAGGCACGCCTAGCCTAGCAATGCACTCTTTGATTTGAACAAAACCAAGCTAAAGAAGAAAAGGTACAAAATGTGGGTTTCATGGAAGCATAGTTTCGGGTCGATCAAAGTGAAGAAGATGATCCTTACATTTGGGACAATCTTCTTCTTGCTTGAGAACCATGAAGTACATCAGACAGCTCCTACAACCAGCAACAACCAATACATTATCTTTGTCTTTATCCGCCCCAAGGCGTCGGTCCTCGTTGTCGTCGTCATCGTTGTAATGCGCTTTACCTCTTGAAGAAGATGAGGGAGACGAGTCCGATGAAAGCTCATCGCTGTCGTACAAGCTGTCATCGTCTTCATCGGAGTAGAAATCTCCACCGTAACCAGCTGCTGTCCTTGGATCCTCGCTTGCTTTCGTTCCATTCCTCCAGTTTATGTAATAAATCTCCCCTGTCTGCCATGTAACACCCCCATCAAACAGTAACACAGAATAATTAACAAATATCACCCAAGATAATTCTTTTAAATTTCTGATTTAACAGAACAAACAGCAAAAAACAAAGAATTATACTTTTCTGGGTTCTAAACCAACCTGCAAAAGGAAAGAGGAGAAGGAAAAGCCAGGTTCCCCCCCCTCAAAATTATTAGGGCTGTAGGCTGAAAGTCTGAAACCCTAGGCTAAGCATGAGTGTGGGAGAAAGTGAGACCATCAGCAAAGCAATAAATGCAAGAAGAAAGAACAAAAAAGGCCATTAAAGAACAAACACCAAAATAAAAGAGCAAGATCTGCCATGGGGTTTCGCATTAATTGCGTTCTGAAACACGAAAATGACCAAAACCAGTTGTTTGTAACCATTGTCAGAGGGAGGAGAAATACACATATACTAACAAAAACAGAAAAAAAAGCACAAACCTTTAGATCAAGGCATTGTTCCCAATGGTAAGGAAGAGAGAGATGGGAGTTGAGCTCCAACCTAGTGTCAGAGACGGTGTTTGAAAGGTTGTTATCATCTCCTGATCTCCTCCCTTCTTCATCAGCAGCCGCCCCACCGACGTCGCTTCCGCCGTCTATTTCGTGGTTCAAAGAACACTTCTTTAAAGATCTCTCCAGTGATTCTGTGATCGTCGCCGTGTCCCGTGCTGTCATTTGACTACCTCAAATCCTATCAAAACAACGAAACTAAGACGAATTCAAAGAAGAGATGAAACAAGATAAGCTTGGAGATGTGGGATTATGAATGAAAACACCATGAAACAAAGGAAGGGGGAGGATAAAGATGGTTATGTAGAGAGATGAAGAGATTAATAACCCCAAGGTGGAGCCGCATCTGCCACTACCAGAAAATCACTGTGGGTTGCATACTTGCATTTTGTATCTCACATCTGTGTATTCGCATTTCAGAAAGTTCACGCGCGCACCAGAGGCGCGTAATGTTCCCCTCTTGATTACGTATTACATGCTAGCTTAGGGTTTGTGTAATCTTCGTTGTTGGCGATATAAATTTTTGGATAAATTAAGTATTTAATACATAAACTATCAATTTTGGTTAGTTTTAACATTTAAACTTTTAAAATTGTCAAAATCAGACTTAAAGTTTAATTTGTGTTTCATTTTAGTACATGTCGTTAAAAAATTATTTTTTCATTTTAGAATCCCGTTGTCAAAAACTCTAGCTTTTGTTTCATTTTAGTATCCCTTTCAAAATTTAACGTTAAATTTTGAAAATATTGAATGTTTAGGTACTAAAACGGATCAAAATTGATAATTTAGGTATCAAAAGCGTTAAGTTTTTAACGGCCGACACTAAAATAAAATGAAAACTAAAGGTGAGGTATACTTTTGAAAAAAAAATTAAAGTTTAAATACGAAAACGAACCAAAACTGATAATTTATATAATAAATACATAGTTTACCCTAAATTTTTTAATATCATGTTTTAATATATATTCCTAAAAAATAAAGTCAAACTTAAAAATAATGTTTGGTGGATGTTAGGAACGAAACTAGAATAAAACTTCAAAAAAAAAATAACACTAAGATATGAATTATAGTTTAATTATTAAATAATCAATTTTAAAATTAAAGTGATGTTGAAAGAATATGCATGAGGTTCTTTTGGAAAGGTTGTGATTCCCCAACTAGAGGAGCTAGGGTTAGCTGGAAGCAAATCTGTTCTTTAAAATCTGAGGGAAGCTTGGGTTTGAGGAGTTTAGCAGATTGGAGTAAAGCTTGCTGCTTACTGCTCATCAAGAAAATCTTGGCAGGTGAGGGCTCTATTTGAATTGTTTGGGTGAATGCCTACTGCCTCAGATCAATTGATTTTTGGAATGCTGAGTATAAGGCTCACTTCAGTTGGATCCTAGCTAAGTTGTTCAAAATGAGGAGTGATGCTAGGAGGTTATTTTGTTCCAGCAGAAACTGGGACCAAATTAGTGCTAGATGGATATGGGAAAACATTCGGAATAGGTGTGAGAAGGTTTGCTGGCACCGCCTGGTGTGGTTCCCTGGCCACATCCCAAAACTCTCACTGATTTCTTGGATGGCAATCTTGGATAGATTGCCAACAAAGGACAGACTTTCTAGGTTTGGTATTATAATGGATGGAGGTTGTGGTCTGTGTAGCTCTGGGCTTGAATCCCGTGATCATCTATTCTCTGACTGTGTTTTTGCAAGGGAAGTTTGGACTGCTATTCTTCTTGCCTGTGGTCTTACTCGGGCACCTCTTAGCTGGAGTGACTCTATTCACTGGCTACTGCTCAACCTTAAGGGCAAATCTCTACTGGTGCTCATCCTAAAGTTGGCTTGGACTGGGTTTATTTACTACATATGGGAGGAACGAAACCACAGACAATTTAGAGGCTCGCATCGTTCGGTTGGAACTGTTGTCAGTAGTATTAAAGAATCTGTTAGAATAAAATTGTATAGAAGTCATATGAAGAGGGTAGATGTTGTTAATAGGAAACTGTGTATAGATTAGGGTTTGGTGTAATGTCTTTGTGATTACGTTTTGTAGCAGCTTGTGCTGCATTCTTTTTGGGTGAATGAATTTTACTTATCAAAAAAAAAATTTAAAATTAAAGTGTTCTAATTTATTTAATTTTAAAATTAATATATATTAACATGAAATATGTTGAAAACCAATTTTCAAACAACAACGAAACAAATATTTTTAGGGATGGGTAGGGGACCCGATGGGTTCCGACTCGACCAGGTCGGATTTTTTTAAAACAAATTTCAGGTTTGGGTCGATCGGGTTTTTTAAATGTGATGTTCGGGTTTATGGTGAAAATACCTGACTTGTCCAAAAAATATATAATTTTACCTTAAATATTTATGAATAATTACAACAATGTCCCTCTATATATTATTTTTTTTCAATTAAGTCACTGTTTTTATTGAATAAAAATAATATTTTATTTTTATTTCGGATCAGGTCGAGTTATGTTTTTAAATTATGTATCGGGTCGGGTGAAATCTTATTTCATGCGGGTCGGGTCGGGTCAGATATCGGGTGGAAGAGTCATTGTTATCGGGTCGAATCGAGTAAAACAAAAATCCGATCCAATCCGACCTATGCCCATCATTATATATTTTGCTGTGAACATGAAGGGTTGCGTGTATAACCTATTTAAGCAAAATGTGTGACTTGATTTGTTTAATGTAAAGCTAATTTATTTACTTTCCTTATGTTATTTGAGTCTTTTCATAAATATTTTTTTCTATAACTTTTAAAATTAATTTATTAATCGATTAATTTAAAATAAATATTTTTAAAACAACTCTCTAAATATTTTCATATACACGAATGGTCAAAAACACCCATCATCTCTCGTTGTATAATAATTCATATTTATCTTTTCTAAAATATTATCTCTAGAATTTTAATTTCTCAAGACCACCGTCTCTAGGGGATTTCAATTTTTTTTTCTCAAGGCGGTTGTTGTATGCAAAGGTAGTAGTAGTGCTATTTAATTATATCATATATCCCTAAATTATGACATTCATTTTAAATTAGTTTTTGAACTTTTTAGTATTCCGATTACATCCTCAAACTATGACTCTCATTCTAAATTAGTCCTGAAACTTTTGAATATTCTAATTTCATCCCAAACTATGAATCTCATTCTAAATTGGTCCCTACACTTCTAGATATTCCGATTTCATCTCCAAATTTATCCAGATATGTAATCCATTTCAACAATTGTTTAACCTACTTTTTTTCTCCCAAACATATAATAATATAACTTGGCCTAATGATTTTAATAACAAGAGATGTGATTAGTATATACGTAAAATTTAGGATAAAATTGAAATATTTAAAAAGATTGGGGACTAATTTAGAATGAAGAACATAATTTGGGGATAAAAATGAAATGTTTAAAAGTTCGAGGATTAATTTAAAAGGATAGTCATAGTTTAAGGATGAAATTGAAATATTTTAAAGTTTATGGACCAATTTGAAATAAGGGTCATAGATTGAGGATGTATAATGTAATTAACTATTCTTTTAAAAAATCTTATGTGATATTTTGACCAACGTTTTATGTCGTTAACTAATAACTCCGTTGATTCTTGCTGATGTGACACGTCAAACACAATACTCTTTATTTAATGTTGATTGAAATTTGATGTGTCACGTCATCAAAAATTAATAAAACTATTATTGAATGACATAAAATATTGATCAAATAATCATATTAAAATTATTTTAGTCAAAGAATCTTATTAAAATAAAAAATAAAACGAGTGTCACCAGTCGTGTTAACTTTTTTTTAAATATAAGAACTTCGCGTACTCTCGTACGGTGAAACAACCAAGTTTTAGTCCGTTGGTTTTTTTAGTTTCCCGAGTCATTCCCTGCACGTTAACTGAGGATGATGGGGTTCAACTTACATTTAATAGCATGGAGTGTCGGCATTCCCCTTGCCAATGCATTTTGGCTAACCCTATGCTTCTTCTTTCCTACTTAATTAGTTAGGTGGTGTTTGTTTTTAGCGTGCAAGCTCTTCAAACCACTTATATCTGCGTCGCGCAGACATTAGGCTTCGCAGACTGTTTATTTTTTAGAAGACATAAATTCTTCAAACGTCTGCGCGAGCTCTTCTTGATGCGGACTTGATTTTATATCTTCAAAGATCTTCAAACCTCTTCAAGAATAATTATAAAATATAATTATTTATTTAAATAATTTTAAATAATTTAATAAGGTTATTTATTTTAAAATAATTTATTATAAAATAATTTATTATAAAATAAATTATTTTAAAATAAATTATTATAAAATAATTTATTTTAAAATAAATTATTATCAAATATGGATTGATTTATTTTAAAATAATTTATTTTAAATAATTTATTAGTATGGATTGATTTATTTTAAAATATGGATTGATTTATTTTAAATAATTTATTAGTATGAATTGATTTATTTTAAAACATGGATTGATTTATTTTAAATAATTTATTAGTATGATTGATTTATTTTAAAATATAGATTGATTTATTTTAAATAATTTATTTGTATAGATTGATTTATTTTAAAATATGGATTGATTTATTATTGTAGTTTTATGGATTGATTTATTTTAAATAATTTATTTGTATAGATTGATTTATTTTAAAATATAAATTGATTTATTATTGTAGTTGTATGGATTGATTTATTTTAAATAATTTATTAGTATGAATTGATTTATTTTAAAATATGGATTGATTTATTTTAAATAATTTATTAGTATGGATTGATTTATTTTAAATAATTTATTTGTATGGATTGATTTATTATTGTAGTTGTATGGATTGATTTATTTTAAATAATTTATTAGTATTGATTGATTTATTTTAAAATATGGATTGATTTATTATTTTAGTTGTATGGATTGATTTATTTTAAATAATTTATTAGTATGGATTGATTTATTTTAAATAATTTATTAGTATGTATTGATTTATTTTAAATAATTTATTTGTATGGATTGATTTATTTTAAAATATGGATTGATTTATTATTGTAGTTGTATAGATTGATTTATTTTAAATAATTTATTAGTATGAATTGATTTATTTTAAAATATGGATTGATTTATTATTGTAGTTGTATGGATTGATTTATTTTAAATAATTTATTAGTATGAATTGATTTATTTTAAAATATGGATTGATTTATTTTAAATAATTTATTAGTATGGATTGATTTATTTTAAATAATTTATTAGTATAGATTGATTTATTTTAAAATATGGATTGATTTATTTTAAATAATTTATTAGTATGGATTGATTTATTTTAAAATATGGATTGATTTATTATTGTAGTTGTATAAATTGATTTATTTTAAATAATTTATTAATATAGATTGATTTATTTTAAAATATAGATTAATTTATTTTAAATAATTTATTATTGTAGTTGTATGAATTATTTAAATTTCAGTATTGTAAAATAAAATTATTTAAATCTCAGTATTGCAAAACTTTAAGTTTAAAAAATCAGTTTATTTATATTTCAGTTCATTTTAGCAGTCTGCAGACGTTAAAAAACAAATAGTCTTCTTCTTGTAGACTGCAGACTTTTGGTCCACCTCTTTTGCTGCAGATGCCTGCAAATGTGGTCCGCAGACTACAGACTTTTTACCTCTGCAAAAACAAACACCACCTTAATTAATAGGCTCTCTTTTACCTATATGTAGAGATGGGCATCGAACTTAAACCCAATGAGTTCCGATCCAATTCAATCAAGTTGATTTTTTTTTTAAAATAGAGTTTAATCTGATCAAAAGTTTTTAAGGTTATGTTCGGGTCGGAATTGGCTTAAAAAGAAAAAGATTGTTCTAGAATATAAATTATATATATAGGGGTATTATTGTAATTATTTATAAATATATAAGGTAAAATTATATATATTTTCGGGTCGGGTATTTTTCACCCTAAACCCGAACTTTACCCCAATATCACACTTAAAAAAACCGACCCGACCTGAATATATGAATTAGAAACTCGACCCTACCCGAAATAATAAAAAAATATTTTTATTCAATATATAAATAAGTTACCAAAAGATTGATGAGGGTAGTATGATCAAATTTCAATTCCCTCCAACAAGAGAATTGAATTCTATCATAGAATGGATGGAATTCACTTTCCCTCATTTAATGGAAAGTTGAAGCCAAGAGGGATTCAAATCTCTTGGAAAACTTGAACCAAACATGAGAAAGTTGTGGAATTGAATTTCAATTCCCCCTAATTCCAAGGAATTCATGCGAACCAAACGCCACCTCAAAAACATTCCAGCGAACCAAACGTCACCTAATAAAAGAGCTTAGATGTAATATTTCCAATTTCCTTGCACCAAGAAACCAAAGTTTGGCATATTTGAATTTGATTCCAGAAAAGATCCAAACTGAAGTTTATTTAACATGAAAATCAATAATACAAAGCCGAAAATCAACCTTAGGTAGACACCAAAGCTTATACTCCAAACTCAGAACCGGCGTCCGAAGATCGGCAGCCTGAAACTGCAGGCGTCCGGCGGAATTTTAAAAGCTTTTATGCGATCCTTTTCCAGAACTTGAAGGGAACAATACTTTTCATAGATTTTTTTTTGTTTGGCTGGAGATACGGAAGGCGGAGAGACACCTGAGCATCAGCTTTAAAAAGATCGATTATGAAGCATCATGGATTAGAATCAGCGTAACAAAACAATAAATCATTCATCATTTGCTCAGATCCCTCGTCTTCTCTTTCGTCGACAAAGCGACTAACAATCCAACACAAAAATAAATATATTTTCAGCAGAGCTTAAAAGAGGGGGGAAATTCAGTTTAATCCGTAGAACGGAAGCTCCTTAGCCGCCCCCATTATACACTGCACAAAAATTATCTTCCCAAACCCTAGTTTTCAGGTCAGCTGCAAAGTGACGTCGTTTAGTAATTCTCCTGAATTCAAAACGCACCGTTTCGGTCAGATTTTGTGTTAATAGACTATTTGGTACCTGAATCTGATTTCATAGTTCATATTGGCACATTCGTGTATTTGCTTCTCTTTTTCGCTTTCTTCCTCGTTGCTTTCAAAGCATTGGCGCTTGCATGATCAGATTGTTCACCGGTAGAGCACTGCGGCCCTCTAATCTTTTTTCTGTGCACCGAAAGATCAACCCTTTTTCCTGCTTTTCGACATGTGGGTTCTCAGCACAAGCAGCAGCAATCCAGACCCGGCAAAACCCGAGCTCCGCAAACGAGCCATGCTCGCATTTCGATTCTTACAAGTATGGTTCCTTGCTTCAACTTTGTATCCAAAACGATGACTCCAATTAAGCTATGGGTCTTCACTGTAAGATCCTAAAGAGCGGTAATTGCTTGGACTTGTTTGCTACAAACTTTGTCCTGAACGTGTACGTTAAAGCTAAATTTTTGTCCCAGGCTGAACTTCTGTTCGATGAAATGCCTGAGAGAAACACGATTTCGTTGTTACTTTAGTTCAAGGCTGTGCACAGTGTTTGCAGTTTTCTGAAGCTGTGGGGTTGGTTTCTAGGCTGCATAGGGAAGGTCATGAGCTTAACCCGTTTGTTTTTTACTTCCATTTTGAAGGTGCTTGTCAGTATGGAATGCTCTGAGTTAGCTTGGAACTTACATGCTTGCATTTTATAAGCTTGGTCATGAGTATATTGCCTTCGTTGAAACTGCTTTAATCGATGCATATTCTGTTTGTGGGTGTGTTCACTTCGCAAGAGAAGTTTTTGACGGGGTTAGAGGCAAGGATATGGTTACTTGGACAGGAATGGTAGCATGTTATGCAGAGAACGACTATTTTCAAGAGGCATTAGAGGCTTTTTCTCAAATGAGATTGGTCGGTTCTAAGCCAAACAATTTTACTTTTGCTGGCGTTTTTAAGGCTTGGATTGGACTTGAAACATTTGATATAGCGAGAGGCGTTCATGGGTGTGTTATGAGCATGATATTTACGTAGGAGTTGCATTTCTTGAATTATATACCAAATGAGGCAATCTTGTGTGGTTCCTAATCAATACACGTTTTCTAGTACACTTCAAGCTTGTGCAACTTTGGGGGATCTAGATTTAGGAAAGCAAATGCACGGCCTTGTGTTCAAGGTTTGTCTTGATGCAGATGTGTTCATATCAAACGCCCTTATGGATGTCTATGCTAAATGTGGAAGGATTGAGGATTCGATGAAGCTGTTTGAGAAATCACCGAATAGGAATGATTTATCTTGGAACACCTTGATCGTTGGCTATGTTAACTGTGGGGACGCTGAGAAGGCATTGGACTTGTTCATGGAAATGCTTGAAAATCGAGTACAGGGAACTGAAGTAACATATTCCAGCATCCTCTGTGCTTCCTCCAGTTTGACGGCATTGGAGCTAGGAACTCAAATTCACTCCTTAACAGTCAAAACAAATTATGCTGAAAATACTGTAGTTCATAATGCATTGATTGACATGTACTCCAAGTGTGGAAGGGTCAAAGACGCTCGATCGGTATTTGATAAGATGAATGAACGAGATGAAGTTTCATGGAACATTATGATCTCAGGGTATTCTATGCATGGGCTTGGTATGGAAGCTTTAAATATATTTCAGATGATGAAGGACAGAGGGTATAAAACAAACACTTTGACCTTTGTTGGCTTGCTATCAGCCTGTAGCAACTCAGGACTACTCGATCAAGGACAAAATTACTTTTCATCTATGTTGCAGGGGTATGGCATAGAGCCATGCATTGAGCATTATTCTTGCGTGGTCTGGCTTTTGGGGAGATCATGTCATCTTAACAAGGCATTGAAGTTGATCGAGGAAATCCCATTTAAGCCTAGTGTTATGGTCTGGCGTGCCTTGCTTGGAGCTTGTGTTATTCATAATAATGTTGAGCTTGGAAGAATATCCGCACAGCGCATTCTTGAGTTAGAACCCCAAGATGATGCAACCTATGTGCTACTGTCGAATATGTATGCAACTGCAAGAAAGTGGGACAATGTCGCTGCCATTAGGCAAAACATGAGAAAGAAAGGAATGAAGGAACCGGGTTTGAGTTGGATCAAGAACCAGGGAAGGGTACATTATTTCAGTGTGGGAGACACTTCGCATCCCGATACAATGGTGATTAATGGGATATTGGAATGGTTGAACTTGAGGACGAGGACAGCAGGGTTTGTCCCTAACTGTAATGCTGTTTTGCTCGACGTAGAGCATAAAGAAAAGGAGCGTTTCTTGTGGGTACAATATGAAAGGTCAGCTCTTGCATATCACTATTTCGAACTGTCACCCAGAAGCCAAATCTGTATAATTAAGAACCTCCGAATGTGTGGATTGCCATGCTGCAATGAAATTAATATCAAAGATCGTGCAGCGAGATATTATTATCAGAGATATGAACCGGTTCCATGACTTCCATGATGGAATTTGCTCCTGTTGTGATTACTGGTAATTCATTCATGTGCCGGTACAGGGTGATCATCTTTCGGATCCCATCCCCCCTGGAACTGTAAGCATATTCTCTCTAAATGTTCTTGCAAAATGTTCGACAGTTCTGTTAGTTTAGTAACATTTCTTTGCCTATTATGGATGAATTTTACATCGTTCTTACTGTTTTCACTGTCCCTCACCATCAAAATTTTCATATAATATATATATATATATATATATATATATGGTAGTTTGGTACTAAAAGAAAATAGACGTGCGTATCACGTTATTTAAAGCAAAAAGAGAACATATATGTCACGGTAGCCACATAAAAGATTATGATTAAATTAAATAATAAGCTGGGATCGAATAACGGTGACGATGAATAATATTATAGCTATAAGCTTTCAATATCATCAAATGATCCCCATGTGTGCAACTCTAGGACCATTCCCATCGAATGCAAGGTTTGCAATAATACAATCATCACAACATGTGGGTGTGAAATTGAGGAAAAGGTTTTGAAAATTATGAGAATCATTTCTCAAAACAAACGTGTGTATATATAATCAACTAAAGCTATCTTTTTTTAACATCATGTTAAACTAATATTTAGGATTTTAGGGTTAAAAATATCATCACATTGATATAATAACAACTAAATTAAAATTTAGGGTAAATTATAAATTTCACTGCTTAATTTTCTTTTCATTCATATTTTGTCTCATTATCTCTGACCACTCTATCAGTTTAGAACTTACCTAGATTATCACTCTAAAACTCATCCATAAACTCAAAGCTTATGAATCCTTAAACTACTTTGATCATATTATCTATCATTAGATCAACGTGGAATCAAGATATATAATTTGTTCTTTTTTCTCTCTCTACTTCTCTACTATTGAGGTATGAAAGAAGATGTTTCATAAATTAAATGAGAAATATGCTTTCTTCATAAAACAATTTTGATATCATTCATAATTTAAAATGTCAATGAGAAATAACGTTTGAAAAAGCACATTGTTGCTTGTTATTTTGGAAAGAGAGAAGGCATATTTGATGGGCTGGAAAGAAAAGTGAAGCAGCGTTTCAGGAGGACTGCTGCTTCCTGCAGCCATTGTTGTGAATCGGTTCATTATTAAAATTACTTCGTATAATATAACAAAGGCTTAATTATAAAGTATTCAAATTATATTTTTTTTAAATAGGTATTCAATTTTTTCTTTAATTATCCAAGTGTCTAAAGTTGCAAATGTAAAGTTTCTAAGACATAACGGCCGTTAAAAAGCCCGTTAAATGACATGTGTCATAATACGGTAAATTTATAAATTTAATTTAAAAAACTTAAAAATATTATATATTTTAAAAAATCCTAAATTTTTCTATTTTACACAAAATACCCCACAATTCATAAAATCCTATTCTCTAATCTCAAAAACCCAAATTTCTATTTGGCTAGCGGCAAATGGTGGTCAGAGGTGAATTTGACGATTGATGGATGGGTTTTGACGACGCGACAAAGGGGTGGGCCGTGGCCAGTCGTTGGTGTCGTGATGGAAGAGAAACGCAAAGGAGAAGCAACGACGGAGGCACTATCCTTTGCCACCAATTCTCACCCTTTGTCGTCGATCTAAATGTTGGTTGTTCGGTCACCCATCGTCGATGCCGTTTCCCTATCACCATCGACGAACTCCGATCAACCAATGGTTTTTTTTTTTTAAATTGAGACTTTTTCTAGAATAAAATATTTTTAAGTTTTTTTAAAAAATCAAATTTCTAAAATTATCAAATTATGACACGAGTTAACAGACTTTCTTAATGGCCGTTAAGACCAATACACCTAAAAGTGGTAACGGTTGAAACATTAAACACCTAGATGATTCAAAAAAAAAGTTTAAACACCTACTTAAAAAAAAGTATAATTCGACAACTTATTTTATAATTAAGCCTATAACAAACATTAATGGAGAATTGAGAAATGAGGGAGGGGGTCTTCCCATACAGTTAATTTGCAGGTAGGGTGGGAAGCACATGCTTTTTAGCAAACTAAGCCCACGTTTTCGATTCTCGAGTCATGGGGGAAACACCATCATGCATGCCTAACCATCCCCTCTCAGTTCTTGTTTAATCACCCTTACTCTCACGTTGTTAATCATTATTTTATGCCCAACACACTGCTGACATCTGCAATTTCTAAAAGAAAAAGAACTAAACCATTTGAGTATGCTCGGCAGGATAATGTTTTTACTACTTATTGTTTATAAGGTTTAGATGATTGTTTGTGATTTTTCATTTGATATGGACAAAGATTTCTTAACCTAAATCCATATATATAGATAGATCATATATCATTCTAAATAAATTCCTTTTTCTTTTCGAGAGAAAAAATCGTTTATATATTTTCTATCTTACGTGTCACGTGATTGAATGAGATAAGAGAAAATGTACTTATAATTTATATTACTCGTGCAATAATAAACATAGTTTGAAGCAAACAGTGAAGCAGAAGGAACCAAAGAGGGGACATGATGGGGCTTAATATTGTTAGTCTGGTTTTAAACATTCCAAATTGTAGCTTTAATCTATGTTGGGATAGGTAGACATTCCTCATAAAACTCTCATTAGGTCTTAAAAAGGACCTTTTTGTGACATTCTGAAAAGAAAGAACCTTTACAGTCATTTTCTCCTTGGAACCTGCCCTAAAGGTGCCCTGGCTGTAGGACCCTTTCGATATTTAATTCCGCACATTACAAAAGAGGTGGATCAAACTGACTGACTCACCACCATCTCTTTCTTTATCTCCTGCTGCAATTATTTCAGTTCCCACAAGCTTCCAAACCAAGAGAATTAATGGAAAGCGAGATTCACAGTGTTTATTCTCCTTGTCTTCCTCTTATATGTTCACAATGAAACATATAATACAACAACGAGTGTCCTCTGATTAATGGCTGTTAAAGAGCTTGTTTTCGCCCATGGCTTATGTTGAGAGTATCAAGAGTAATCCGGGGAATCATCATCTGCTTCTTGTCGTTCTTTCTTCTCGGTATAGTCCACACGGGGTGTTTGGGGTTTTCCTGTTTTTCAGATATGACCATGGTTCCTGCTGAAAACCTTTCCAGACAGCATCATCTTCCTCACGGCGGCGGCGGCGGTTTTTATGGTTTTGATTGCGGTAGAAGTTACACGGAGGGTTTGGGGCTTACGAGCAGTGTTCGCGGATATGACTATCAAATCGAAGCTTACTTAGGATCTGATCTAGAATTTCCTATTTCCATGGCTGAAGATGAATCGAGGGCCAACAGTGATAACAATAATCAAGAACAAGAACGAGATAAAGGTTGGCTCCAACTCAGTATAGGGGGTCAGGCTCAGGCAAAAAGAACATACGACGAATATGATCACAACAACAAGAACGGACGAGGAGGGTCGACGTTGACGGAGCTTGGTCTATTACCCGGTGGTGGCTCACAGTCACAACAAGCAAGGCCACTAGCCCCTATTTTCGGATGCCCGAGTTTCAACCTCCACCACGTCCGAAGGTTATCAATAGTTTTAGTACTTTATTCTTTCAACAACACCAGCAAGGAAGTAGCTCCATGATCCCTCATCAGGTGGAGATTAACCGGGACTTTAAGCCGATAGCACCAAGTTCTTCTTCTTCTTCTTCTTCTTCTTCTTCGTTGGCGCCCTATTTTGGCAGATCATTTCAGGTGCAATCAATGGATGTTGCCGGGCCGAGCTCGGAGGTTAGAATCATTGATCCTCCTAAAAGGCCCCATTCTGGCATTTGGTTTATGCTACAAGCATCACACAATCAGTAAGTAACTAAGTACAAAAACAAAAAAAAGGGTATTAAAAACTACACCATGAAACTCGCTTACTAATTTCTTTTTCCATTTCAGAACAAAAGAACCCTTCTTGCCTCAAATACCAAAGAGCTATCTGAGAATCAAGTAATTAAATTCATTTTTCCCTGCGTTTATTCCCGTTCTACTTTCGTGTTCATGGCGGTTCATCTTTTGTTTTTGTTTTGATTGTTATTAAGGGATGGGAAGATGACAGTGCGATTAATAATGAAGTATCTGGCTAACAAGCTCAGACTGGATAGCGAATCAGAGGTATGTCTCAAACCAAACGCACCTCCATTTTCCATTCTTGTTGCATTTTTCGCCTGCTTTAGGGTAGCCAAAAAACATGAAACTAATCCGTCGTATTATTATCATCCAGTTAAACTGATTAGTACATGGATTACAGAACTTGGTTGGTGTTAGGGACATGACAGAAACATTGGAACTAACACTTCCTGTTTTTCATCTTTACATGTCTGATAACATCATGTAGTGTAGGTGGCAAGTATATGTCTTTGGTACCCATTTTAGCCCTTAATTAAGATTGTTCCAATGTGTCCCTGATCAAGATAATTAACAAGATAATTAAGATTGTTACGGACTCATGGTTTCGTATCAAGGGCGAACTTCTAAAATCTTAAAAGGGTACGAAAATAAATTGTCAATAAAAAAATACAAATAAAATATCAAAAACATATGATAATTTGAAATTTAGGAGTCGATTGTATCACCCATTCCCTTGGTCCCATCCCTGTGTATTAGTAACACATATCAGGTCTTGTTCATTAGTTTATCATGTCGTGTACTTGATAGGAGAGACGAGGATCTTTGAGACTAACATATTAATTATTCAGACTAAAATAATTGTTCCTTTCCTTGCACTTCATGCCAAGTTTGAGATCATGACAGTATCTTATTTTTTTTATATTTGAAGAATCATAATAAAAACACACCTAATCTCAAACACATCATAACATATATATTTGGGTGTTTTCATATAATTATAGAAGTTCCACATTATAGTTAATAGGTCAAGATTTTCCATCATGGCTAGGGTTTTGTTTTGGTTGTATGATGCAGTGGAAAATGTCCAATGATTAGGGTTATTAGCGATTGTAGCGTAGATGCAGGACTATATATGACTAGTTTTTCATCTATTTACGAACTTTAAAAGCAAACTAGCATCCCCTATGTTAAATAATAAGAAATTCTATATTTTTTTAATCAAAGTTTAAATTCAAATTATATGAAATAAAGTATTGAATGATCTTTATCGTATTTAAAAGTTTGATCTGACTTGACCCTAAATATATTCGAGCTCCAACTAATCTAGGGCAATAATAACCACTATGTTATATGGTAGGTAGGAAAAGGGATGTTATCATGAACATAGTGCAATACAAGGTGCGAACATAAAATGTTATATTAAAATTTTAAGTGGGGGGTTTTGTATTATATGGAAGCTAGGAAAAGCAACAGAGATGTTATCATTTTACTCTATAGGTGCGAATTTAAGAAATTATATTAAAATTTCAAGGAATACGAGATTACAAAATTACATGAATATGAATTTAAATCATTAAAAAATACCTAAATTATATGAAGATTTAAATTTTTCTAAAATATAACAACACCTCAACACTTCCTCAGTTCATTTGATACAATATGCATCGAGATAAAAACATCTATTTTTTTTTATTTATATCTCGTCCTTAGTTGATATGTAGTTATAAAAAAACTAGTGTGTTTTGAAATTAAGCATGATGCAAGATCATATCTAGGAAGGGGTAGACACAAGATCTTATATTAGGGAGTGAACTTCTGAAATTTGAATAGGAGATGAATTTATAAAGTTCTGGGGGAGAAAATAAATTATCTATTGAAAATACAAAGAAAATATCAAAAACATATACTAATTTGAAAATTTCAGATCCCTTCGATCCATCCATATATGTCTAAGGTTATCAAAATCACACATGGACCTTGTAATTCTCAAAAGGCAGAATACCAAAATTAACCGCTATCGTTTATCACAAGGGTCATCTTGCCCCTATTCTATTTTTTTAAGCATTTTGAGCCTCAACATTTCATTTTAGGGCAAAAAGACTTCTAACATTTGACATAATAATAACTTTGACCATTATCATATCAGCCCTCAACATTTCATTTTAGGTTAAAAAGGTTCCTATTTTGAAGTGTTAATTAAACTAATGATTTACATCTATAGAGGGAGCTTCCCCATAATGAAACGTTGGGGTCAAAATACTTTAAAGAAGAATAGGAGAAAATGATTATTTTTAGTAAACTTTGGGACTATTTTTGACATTACGCTTTCTCAAAAACCCTACATGTTCCTCGTCAATCTCTTCCCTTTCGTCACGCTTTCGTTTCTTACATCTCAGCATCCGGATAGATAATTGTAGGCCCTTTTCTTTCCTTTATGCCCGTGCTTAAACAGCGAATAATTACATAAAAATAACTTTAAGTGCACCACTTCGATGGAATATTTTGTAAAAGGACCTATCGATACCCAGCCCACGGGTTTTACGTCGGGGGAAAGCAATGCATGAGGGGATGATTTCCACAACAGGATCATTTCCCCAGTTGTTGAAAAGGAAAAAAAAAATGAAAGGCATAAAAAGACAGATTAGAACCCCTCCATTAACTGACCTCTGTATTCTCCTAATTATAGTTTTAGAATTAGGGTTTTATTTTGCAAGAAGGCAACGTGAGGAAGACGTGCTTGATATGTGATTGGTAGACATGCTTGATATGTGATTAGTGTTTGTGACGTATATTTGGGTAGGTTTTATAATTTATTCTATGGTAAACTATGTGTTTAGCATGTAAACTATCAGTTTTTGTCCATTTTAGTATTTAAACTTTCAATTTTTTTTTTTCAAAATCATATATAAAGTTTAATTCTTTTTCATTTTAGTACCACACCGTTAAGAGCTTTATTTTTTGTTTCATTTTAGTAATTCGTTCAAAATATAATATTAAGTTTTGAAAATATTGAAAGTTTAGGTACTAAAATATACCAAAATTAATAGTTTAGGAACTAAACACGTTAAGTTTTCAACGGCGTGTACTAAAATGAAGTGAAAATTACATTAGATATGGTTTTGAAAAATTTAAAGTTTAGTTATTAAAACAGATCAAAACTGATAATTTAGATACTAAATAGTAGTTTTCCCTTTATTCTAATTGCATTATATAAATAGTTTTATAACATAAAAATAAGCATTTAAGTGGTTAAATGGATAGTTGTGGTCCTATGATCGAGTTTTCATTGTCAAATAATTGTGAATATTTAAAACGGATACTAAAAATTATAGTTAGATAAATGTATGATGTGTCCTATTTTTTTTTTTTTTTTTAAATTTAAAATTTTTAACTAACGGGCAGGCTCGAGCTTGCTTGACAGCTGATATAAATTAGCGGTACTTTAAAGTATGTACTTTAAACTCACTTAACAATACTTAATTAATTATTTTGAATAATAAACTTAAAATATCATTTAATTTTATAGAACGACTATAAGATAATTATAAAATTTATCAAACTTTAATATTTATTATAAATATAAATTCAAGTGATTTATTAATGAGTATTAATCGTATTTTTCTTAGATGTAATCGTTTAAACCTGCAACTTTTAAGGAGACGACATTCTCTCCTTATCGAGTGAATATTCATTAACACTTTGATATGCATTAAAATCTTATTTAACGAGTGATTTATTCGATTGGTTGAGTGTAATTGCAACCTTTTACATATATGGAAACTTGTTGATGGTTGCAGATAGAGATAAGATGCAGAGGGCAACAGCTTGAGCCATTGTTGACGTTGCAGTATGTGAGAGATCAAATTTGGTGTCGTGCTTCAGGACAAGCTCACTCTTTGCTTCCTGATTATACTTTAACGCCGCCTGATAGTGTTAACAATGTCATGGTTCTGCATTATGGTAGGCGCTAGGGCTTCAAATATTCGAAAACACCAGCACCACCCTTATTTTTTCTCGTAATTTAATCGTTTTGTTTCTATATATAATTGTGATCGATGAGTGAGTGAATGAATCATTTCTTTAAGTTATGGAAACCGTCTCCTTTTTCTTTTATTTTTATCGTCGTCGTCTCCGTCTTATCGGTGATGGTTTTAGATCACTTGAGTGAAGGATCTAACATGTTCATGAACATGTCATAGTCAAAATGAAACCACCCACACATTGTGAAAATGAGTGGCATCTTTGACAAAAGGAAAGAAAATCACCCAAGTGCTGAGAGCAACAAGATACATGCAACGTAGTCATTCGTGTAGCCACTAGAATAAAGTTGAAAAGGCTAGCAAACATGAACCACAAGCAGCTTTGCATGCGCGCCACTATGTACTTTCCATATATATGTATATGTTCATATATAGATAGACAGACTGTAGGATCCAACAAGTGTTTCATGACGAAAAGCACATGCAAACTTGGAGGTATGGGGCAAATCATGAACAGATTCTGGCTTGTGTTGTTGCTGTTGAGTGTGTCGATGGTGGAGTAAACTGAGTCGAAAGGTTATGAGGCACCACTCAACTGTGGCCACCTCGAGTGTGCTCCGTACAGAGTTATTCAAAGCCAGCCAGAGTTCCAGATTAGGAGTTATCCAAAGGCCATGTGGGTGGCTACTTCCCCCATCGCCTCTTCCTCCTACAAGGATGCTGTTTCCAAAGGCTTCAAAATGTAAGGGCACCAACCATGTATACTTTTACATTAATTATCTTCTTTTAATTTGGGTTTTTGGTTTCCTTGGCTATCCTCCTTGCTTACATTCGGGGCAACAATGAGCAAGCAGTGAAAATGAACATGACAGCACCGGTTCTGGTAAACATACATCCAACCACTGGAGGCCTCCACAATTTAACCAATGTTGTTCACTTCTACATGCCTTAAATAGTCCAAAGAAACCCTCCACGGTCGGATGATGCACACCCAGTGGAGCTGCCTCGGAACAAATTTGCAGCAGTGAGGAGATTTGGGGGATTCATGAATGATTCCAACATCTCTGCTCAACTATCAGCCTTGAAGAAAAGCCTCAAAGGCACGGCATGGGAATCGAATAAACACAGCGGCAGCCACTCTCTGCAGTACAGTGCTGCCGGTTACAACTCTCCCTTTGAATACAAGAATCGTTTGAATGAAATGATGTTATGGCCCGATTAGCAATGAGTAAGCCGGTTACTTCGGCTTCGGTAGTTGGGCGACCATATTTATACTTAGATTCAATGAAATATTGCAACATGTCATTCTCTGACTTGCCAGCACATTTGTGGGAAGCTATGATATTTGCAAAGATATCAGCAAGCTTCTTTCGAGCTCGGTCGAGACGGCGATGAGCAGGGATAGGCATTGCAAGGGAATATAACACTGATGGGGAGCATTCCATTGTCAAGATCATGGAACAGTGCAGACACGTCATCAAAAAGTTTATCACGCACTTCACGACCCAAGAGACACCTACTAGCAGTCAAGATGATGAGATGCTCCAGTTCATACTAAAGGTCCACCTCACCACTATCCCCCCATTTTGAGAAGTAATCCTGCCCAATTTTATAATGATTAAATCACGAAATCAAATATATAGAGCTGCAACATTATGAACTTATGTAACAGTGAAACCATATGACGAACCTCGATTTCAGTGAAAAAGTTGACAATTCTCTATTCATTAGCATGTCATTTAACCTCCAAAACCAAATGTACCTATGTTTATTACCCTTTACTTCGTTTTTATTCATAAAATTAGCATGGAGAGTAAATCATTAAGTAACACCAAGCCACCAACGGCCATTCTTTTTCATTCATAAAAGAAAGAAGAAGAGGAAGATCCACCAACAACATGAAAATCGATGCTTGAGTTGATTTTAAAGAAAGCAACATCAACATTCACAAGAGCATTATTAGCAATGTGCAAATCATACTTCAATCTTCAGATATGAACTTATGCAGAGTGGATTCCTAAAATGTCTACTCACTATCTCAAGCATGCATAATCAAGAATGAAATAAACAATATACTTTCGTTCAACCGAGCCGGTCCATTAATAATCCACCAAATGCAAACTATATCCACGTTAGTTCATTATCCCTTGACATAGTATCAAATATCAAGTGTAACATAATATAAAACAAGTTCGTAGCAGATCACTCACCTCAGCTTCTGTAACCATCTGATCAACATAACCCTTAAGTTTGTTAACTCTAAGGGCCTCGGAAAAGAACCGGAACTGCTCTTGCCTTATCGAGTAATCCACATCGAAAACCACACCGTGTCCGAATGTTGGCACATTGAACTGGTAAACTTCCTGTTGGCCGATGTCTGATTCTGAATCCTTAAAGAAGTGTGTTGAAACTCCAGGCCCGATCAAGAAAGTTATCTTCTTGTTAAACAAGTTCAAAGTGAAAACACTGCCGAGCTTCGGGTACTCCTCCCGGAGGATCATGACAGGGCCTTCCATGAATCGAAGGAGCCCACCGATGATCGGCCAGGTTTTGACTACCGGCGGCAGCCGTTTCCTAGATCTGGGCATTATGAGGAAAGATATGAGCTTGGCCACTACTAGAGTGGCTACTAATGAGAAGTCCCATGTTCAAAAGCTTTCCGTTCACTTCCATGGCGGCCCCGATTTGATAATTCCCTATCAGCTATCAGTTAAAAATTATGAAAATTGAGAAGAATCTTTAATGAACACTCGTATTGAGTGACTGAACTCCAGCATTGAGCATTTCAATCATCAAAAGGGAATTACAAAAACCCAATCGCCGGAAAAGAAAATGAGGAAATTTGCTCTGGTTTTACACCAATATATTCTACCATAAAAATTGTTTTCTTTTGGCAGGAAATCAACAACAAAAAGGATGACGGGAAGCCCAGAGAGGACATCAAGAAATGTAGATTAATAATCCCACTAATAATGTAAAAAAAAGGAAGAGTAATTACCTGATCTGAGATGCAAATGTAGACGGAAACGAAAGGAAAAGAACGAGAGTCACATGAACTACAAGACAAACACAAACTCAGAGAATCACCACGGAAGAGAAATATCCAAATTATAAGCAGTAGTTTCGTGGGTGATGAAGGGCGATTGCTCGTATCACTTTGCTTTTATAGGCTTATTATACAAATTGGTACATGAAATTGAGAACTTTTCTCATATTGGTACCTGATTTTTTTCTTCTCAAAATGGAACCTAAACTTGGAAATTCGAGACAACGCCAAATACTATTTTGAGAATTCTTTCCAGGTTTAGGTACTAATTTGGGACAACAAAAAAATTTAGATGCTAATTTGAGAAAAGTTGGCAAGTTCAAGCACCCATTTGTATAATATGCCTTTTTCTTAAAAAAAAGAGTAATTACCTTATATGAGTTTTGATTTGATATGATTTGATAGGGTCATATTTAAAAAAAAAATCGTATTTGAATCTAGTCGGGTGCACGTGAAGGGTGAAAAAAAATCAGACCCCACCAAGTTGAGGAAAATAATGTAATTTTTTTAAAAAAATATTTTTTTTAAATCAAATCCTAATTTTATACACAAATTTAGTCTGGTGGACCAAAGCTCCAACTCAACCCCACCTATAATCATCTTTACTTATATCTATATTGATATGAAATTATGAATTAAACTTGATGTTCTAAATTAACTTAATATTAGTTAGATTAATTTAATCATAACTTATAAATAGCATTAAAATTTGAATTTTAATAGTATAAATAAAAATATTCAAAGATTATATAATAACGAGTATTTATAATATTAGATTTAATTGACTAATAGATTAAATATTAATAATTATAAAAAAATATTATAAAAAATAAGAGTTAATTGTATAATATGTCTCTAAACTATGACCCTCATTTTAAACTGGTTCTTAAACTTTTCAACATTTCAATTTCATCCCTAAACTATAACTTTCATTCTAAATTATTCCTTAAAATTTTGAACATTCTAATTTCATCCTCAAACTCTAGCTCTCGTTGTAAATGATTCCCGAACTTTTGTATATTCCAATTTCATCCCCAAATCCATCCAAATCTGTAACCAATTTCAACCATAATTTAACCTAATTTTTTTTTTCAAGCACATAATAATATAATATGGCCAAACGATTTAATTAACAAGGGATTTGAAAAGTATATACATATAATTTGGCATGATATGGAAATGTCCAAAAAGTTTAGGGACTGATTTAGAATGAAGATAATAGTTTGGGGATAAACATGAAATATTCAAAAGTTTGAAGACTAATTTAATATAATAGTCATAATTTAGGGATGAAATTAAAATATTTAAAAAATTAAAAATTAATTTAAAATAAATCATAATTGAATGACATATAATACAATTAACTCTATAAATAATTGTATATTTTAATATCGCATGATATCTTTTGAAAAAACAAGCTCAACTACTATTTTGGTGGCGTTTCCTTTTGGCCCGTCTTCATGTGGCTCTTGTTCTCCAATTAACTAACGTAATAATTCTTGATTTATTTTTATTAACTAATTACAATTAGAATTTATGATTATTTTATAACGATGTAACTTTATAAAGGATAAACTACAGATTTAATTTTTAAATTATCAGTTTTAGTTTGTTTTATTATCTAAATTTTTTATTTTTTAAAAATCATATATAACGTTTAGTTTGTATTTCATTTTAATATCCATTAAAAATTTAATACGTTTAATACATAAACTATCGATTTTAGTTTGATTTAGTACCACACTTTTAATCTTTTTAAAACTTAATTTTAAATTTTGAACGAGTATTAAAATGAAACAAAAACTAAAATTTTTAACAGTGAGTACTAAAATAAAATAAAAATAAAAATTTAATTATGATTTCAATAAAAATAAAAAAAAATTAAATATTAAAACGTACTTAAAACTTATAGTTTAGATATAAATTTGATTCAGATGCTATTAAATCAGAGATAACGTTAGAAAAATGGCCACCGATGACAGAATAAAGTGGTGCAGGTTGGATTTGCTTAATCAGTCATTCCAGAGTCCCGAAGGAAAAAAGCAGCGTGGTGAGTCAGAG